TGTGGCACATCCGAATGTGCAGCAATTGCTGGCTGCCATTTGGTACGATGGCCTGCCTGGCTTTCGGCGCAAACAGGCCTCACAGCAGCTCATGGATGTCATCAAACTGGGCTGCAGTTTCCCCATCTACAGCATGAAGTATATCCTCGCGCCGGACTCGGAGGGTGCCAAGTTTATGCGCAAACCCTTCGTCAAGTTCATCACACACTCCTGCTCGTACATGTTCTTTCTGAGTGGGTAAAACTTGCAGTTAAATGTGGCACTGATCTCTACCACTTTACCATTTCCCCTGCGCAGTGCTGCTGGGTGCTGCCTCGCTGCGCGTGGTGCAAATCACCTTTGAGCTGTTGGCCTTTCCGTGGATGATCACCATGCTGGATGATTGGCGCAAGCACGAACGTGGCTCACTGCCGGGCCCCATTGAGCTGGCCATCATAACCTACATCATGGCACTGGTATTCGAGGAACTCAAATCGCTCTACTCGGACGGGCTGTTCGAGTACATCATGGATCTGTGGAACATTGTTGATTTCATATCGAACATGTTCTACGTCACGTGGATTCTGTGCAGAGCCACAGCCTGGATTATAGTTCATGTGAGAGCAGTCCGTCACCTCTTTAGGCTTTTTGTACTATTTCTTTTGTCTCTTCGGCAGCGAGATCTTTGGTTCCGCGGCATCGATCCTTACTTTCCCCGCGAGCACTGGCATCCCTTCGATCCGATGCTGCTCTCGGAGGGCGCCTTTGCCGCTGGCATGGTCTTCTCGTACCTCAAGCTTGTGCACATCTTTTCCATAAATCCGCACCTGGGACCGCTGCAAGTCTCGCTGGGACGCATGATCATTGACATCATCAAGTTCTTCTTTATCTATACCCTGGTGCTGTTTGCCTTTGGCTGTGGCTTGAATCAACTTTTGTGGTACTACGCGGAGATGGAGAAGAACAAATGCTACCATCTGCATCCCGATGTGGCGGATTTTGATGATCAGGAAAAGGCCTGCACCATTTGGCGGCGATTCTCCAAGTGCGTTGGGCAGCAACATCCCCTTTGTGGGTTTCCCCTTCATGTTTTTCCTTCTACTTTCAGCTTGTTTGAAACTTCCCAATCTCTGTTTTGGGCATCCTTTGGCCTGGTGGATCTCGTCTCTTTCGATTTGGCTGGCATCAAGAGCTTCACGCGCTTCTGGGCGCTGCTCATGTTCGGCTCGTACTCCGTCATCAACATTATTGTGCTGCTCAACATGCTGATTGCCATGATGTCCAATTCGTATCAAATCATCTCGGAGCGCGCCGACACCGAGTGGAAATTCGCCCGCTCCCAGCTGTGGATGAGCTACTTCGAGGACGGCGGCACCATACCACCGCCGTTTAATCTCTGCCCCAACATGAAAATGCTGCGCAAAACTCTGGGACGAAAGCGGCCATCAAGAACCAAGAGCTTTATGGTATGTACATGGGTCAAAGGGTGACCTCACGCAGCTCAGCACGGGGGCAGGGCAGCAGGCAAATCATTTTCAATCAAGCTCCTGTAGTTCCGCGCTAATAGCACAATCCTTGGCTCTCTCTCAGCGCAAATCCATGGAGCGGGCACAGGTTCTGCATGACAAAGTGATGAAGCTGCTGGTGAGGCGTTTTGTCACCGCCGAGCAGAGGAAACGGGACGACTACGGCATCACGGAGGATGACATCATTGAGGTGCGCCAGGATATTAGCTCGCTGCGCTTCGAGCTGCTGGAGATTTTCACGAATAATAGTTGGGATGTGCCCGACATTGAGAAGAAGACAGCGGGTAACAGACAGCTTGAACGCGATTTAAAGTGGGAAATTCCCCACTTCATTTGTTTAAATATTCATTTGCAGGCGTTGCTCGCACCACCAAGGGCAAGGTAATGGAACGACGCATACTCAAGGACTTCCAGATTGGCTTTGTGGAGAATTTGAAACAGGAAATGAATGAGAGCGAGGGCGGACTCGATATCTTTGCATCGTTGGCCAAGGTCATAGGCAAAAAGAAGACGCAAAAGGGGTAAGCAAAGGGTGCAGGGATGTTTGAATTATGCCTGAGTGCATCCTTACATCCTTTACAGCGAAAAGGACTGGAATGCCATTGCCCGGAAGAATACCTTTACTGCGGATCCCATTGGCTCGAAGCGCTCCTCCATGCAGCGCCACAGTCAGCGCAGTCTGCGGCGAAAGATCATCGAGCAGGCCAATGAGGGTCTGGCCATGGATCAGCATCAATTGATTGGTAGGCGCAATGTCCCAGGCTACACTCAGACTCGTCTTTATTCACTTTTCTTTGACTACGCACAGAATTCAATCCCAACTTGGGCGAGGTGACGCGGGCCACGCGAGTCGCCTATGTCAAGTTTATGCGTAAGAAGATGGCCGCCGATGAAGTGTCGCTGGCCGATGATGAGGAAACACCAAAAACCGACGAGCAAAGGAAACTGGAGGGCACTATGGTAAGGCTACCTTAGTGCTACTTTTGGGACTTTTCTTGAAACGAATTTCAATGTTATTTCAGTCCAAAAAGGCCGGTGCTGGTGGCTTGGCTTCAGTTGCTTTGGCCAGAGCTTCCGTGAAGAATGTTGATGAGAAGTCCGCCGATGGCACCGACAGCAAGAGCGCCATGAAGAAGCCAGCAGACGACAAGAAGTCCGCCACAGGTGACGACAAGGACAAGAAGTCAGAGTCCAAGCCAGCAGCAGCTGGAGCAAAGGCTTCTGCCGATCAGAAGCCGGTCCCAGCAGCAGGGGCACCCAAGCCCCAGGGCAGTGTCAAGCCCGGCGACCAGCAGAAGCCAAATGCCCCAGCTCCACCGTCCAAGCCGGCAGACACGAAGCCAGCGGCACCCAAGCCAGGAGAGCCGGCCAAGCCCGAGGCAGCTGTCAAGAAGGAGGAAGCGGCCAAGACCGAGGCGGCAAAGCCCGCGGCAGCAGGAGGAGCGGCCAAAAGTGCGGCACCAGCGGCACCAGCGGATGCCAAGCCTGATCCGAATGCAAAGACACCAGCAGCGGATGCACCAGGAGCCACCAAGGCGGCCAATGAAACCCCCAGTGCACCCACCCAGGCAGGCGCGGGTCAGGAGCCGAAGGCAGCCTCTGATGGCAAGACGCCAGCACCCACGAAAACTGACGAGGCGAAGCCAGGGGATGGCAAGTCTGAAGCCAAACCTGGGGACGATAAGCACGATAAGAAACCAAGCGATGATAAGGATAAGAAGCCAGCAGATGACAAGGACAAGAAGGCAGCAGCAGCAGCAGCAGCACCACCACTCAAACCGGCCATCAAGGTGGGTCAGAGCAGCGCGGCAGCTGGCGGCGAGCGGGGCAAGTCCACGGTCACGGGTCGCATGATTTCCGGCTGGCTGTAGGTCGTTCTACAGAGATCTCTCCTGACATAATATCAGATGATAGTAACCCAAATGTATTAGCAGTCCAATGTGAGCAATAAAGTAATTTCCAAGAGCAGAAAAATGTCTCCAGACTGCCCCGAGGGCTGTGAGTTTCGCTTTGTATTTTGCATGCAACATGTTGCCCCAGCCACCTGTTGCCAGCACCCAGCCATTGGCAGCAACACTTTGCCAGCCTCCCTGCTGCTCTTGACGTAATTTATTTACATGCCAGCCAATGTCCATGCTCCTGGGGCCCTATAAAAGCCGCTGAGTTGCCACCAGCAGCACCAGAAAATCATTGAACGTGCCCCAGGAAACATTTAACGGAGCCAACAGAACTGCTGCCATCGAACCAAACCGAATATTGTTTTAGATAATTCTTAGTTTTTTGAACAAAATGAAAGCCACTTGCAGTCTGTACAACATTGCCAGTGCCATTTTGCTGCTCGTTTTGCTGGCACAATTCAGCACCGCAGGTGAGTTCTAGGCATAAAACTACTTATCGTGGTATAAGATTATTGTAAATTGCGTTTAAAACAAGTAGAGACTCAGCTTGGATCTCTCAGATCTGGAACCCGAGCAAACTGTACCCTTTTTTGCCACAAATTTACACTCAATTTGGCATACTTAAAGTGCATAAATAATTATCATTGCTATTTTTCAGGACCTTTAAAACAAAAAGGTAAAATGGCCACAGTCCTACTGCAAATCTTTTCGTATATTCTCACACTTTTAGCATTCGATTCTGCATGAAATTTCTTCATAAAAAAACACTTTAAAAACTTAAAAATTAATTTAAACTGATAAATATTCCCGCTGCCACCGCACAGAACTAAACCATGACAAGAATCGGCGTGGTGCCAACATGGGACTCTATGCATTCCCCCGCGTCGGTCGCAGCGATCCCAGTCTGGCCAACAGTCTGCGCGATGCCAGTGATGCCGCGGTCTTCGATGGCATTTACGGTGATGCCTCCCAGGAGGACTACAACGGTATGAGCAATGAGAGCTGCGGCTGCCCAGCATAACTGATATCTGTGGGGACATGCAATTTTGGGCAATTTTCAGAGGCGGACTATCAGAAGCGGGCTGGTCTAGTGGCCTTTCCGCGCGTGGGACGCAGCGATGCCGAGCTGCGCAAGTGGGCCCACCTCTTGGCTCTGCAGCAGGTGCTGGACAAGCGCACTGGGCCCAGTGCCTCCTCGGGCCTGTGGTTTGGCCCTCGGCTGGGCAAGCGAAGTGTCGATGCCAAGGCATTCAACGATGCCGATGCTGGCAAGGGACAGCAGGAATTCAACTAGACACTGGCCACAGCAGCACATGGGAACACCACGGAGCGTAGACACATTTTGGCATCATAATTATCATAATTCTAATCGAATTCAGCTTCTAATTTAACATTTATAACGGGTATAGAGCAAATATGTCTTTGGGTTAGATACACATCCTACAAAATATTGTATAAATAAATAAACGAGAGCTGATGAGAGCTTAAAAATACAAATTATACAGGATTACAGGGCAAGTTTTGGGTTTTGAGAAAAGTTTTATTCTAAATTAGTTGCAAAATGTTCATTATGTTTATTTTCGGTATGCATTTAATAGGCAGAAGATCCCTTCTGCGCTCTCTAATCGTTTCGCTGCTCTGCTCTAAATTTTCGCAGTTCTGTTTGTATGGCCTCGATGAGCGGCGCTGCAGAGGCGGAGGCGCTGCTTGTGGCTGCCTGCTTGGGTACCTCTGTGTAAAGGTCTTCCTCTCTGTGATAGTGTCCCGCACTCAAAGGACGATTCAGTGTTGAATGGGAGCTGTACATGCTGCCACCGCCCCACGCGCTATGAGTGGGTGAGGGAGGCTGCGTGGATGCCAGCTTTGTGGTCTTCTCCGGTTGGGCCGTAGCTGGTCGTTCGGCTGCAGCTCTGCTTCCAGCTGTTGGGTAAAAACTTAACGAAACAAACAAACATACAGATGGTTAGGCTCGTGTGTTGGGTTACTCCTTCTTGAGCCACCTACCTGGGCAGTCCCGCGGAGGAGCCGCGATGCTCACGATTGGTCGCGGCGCGTCTGCTATTTGTGAAATTGTGTGTGGGCAAGGGCATGGGAATGTCATCCTGGCTGGCATACATTTGCAGGGCGCCCTCGAGTAGGCCCTCGTAATGGTTGCGTATAGCCGAGGGATTGTGAAATGGACTTGTGCTATAGTCTGCATAGGCCAGAGCCTCTGGGGAAGATTGATTGGAGAATTTGAAGGTTCAATTGAGGGAGTGGAGAGAGGAGAAGGTGAAGGCTTCTCCTGCTAAGAGGTATCTACGTTGTCTATCAAGTAAACTACATAAATTATAAGCAACAACTAGGCTACGCTACTGCACGTTAAGGTATCCTTAGTAACGTGACATTGCCCCAAATCGAACATCATCACTTTTATCATCATTTGCACTGGTTCTACTGGGACTTGGTGCATCTCCTCCTCCCGCCTCACCCTGACTTTCGGTGGCTGCCAAACGTTTCTTGTGTCGCTCCCAGACCACGGGTCCAATCACACCTGGATCTGGATTATCGCTGTGCGCCGAAGCAGCCGCCGCAGAGCGCACATTGCGCACCGAATTCGGCGGCGCCTTGGGACTGGGAAAGCTGGCTATGGCGGCAATGGTGCCCGCAGATTTCTGTGACTTCAGCGATCGCTGGGAGCTGTGCGTGGCGCCTGGCTTCGGGGCCACGGCATTCACATTGTCGTAGTACGTGACGAAAACGGGATCCAGCACACGGTTCAGGGGCTCCGGCAGAGTGTTCTTCGGAAAGGCACGCACCGAAGCCATCGACAGAAAGGAGCCCACGCTGGCGGTGTCCGAAGATTTGTCCGATGGCTGCAGGGTGCGAATAATCTCGTTGTTTATGGCCTCCGGGGAGGCACCGCTGCTGTGTTTCTTGTCTTGCTGCTTCAGCAGCTTGTTGCGATGGTAATTGTTGTGCAGATTGTATGCCTCGTTCCGCTGAAAGTTCTCATAGCTGCGCCGCAGAGCATCCGGTGAGCCGTGGCTGCCCTCCTCCGCTGAGGAGTGTCCCGCCAGGGAGCCCTGAACAGGACTCGTCTCCAGGGAGCCTACACGATTCTCGTTTAGGTAACGCCGCCGCGACTTGTGCCTGGACTTGTCGCCTTTCTTCTCCGACACCACCGATGTGTAGACAGTATCCTCGTGCCCCTCGGCGCGATCATACTGATGCCGTCGCTTGTGGGCGTCGAAGAGTCGCGCTGCCTTGTCGTCCAGTATGCGCTGCACATCGGCACTTGGCGGGTTGATGGGGCAGTAGACCGACGAGTCGGAGGTGTTGTCTGTCGACGAGATGGAGTCCTGTCGGGAGCGATCCGCTCCCGGTGGTGCTGGGAAGCTAATGCGTGGCTCTCGCTCGTAGGAAAAGTTCTGCACTCCCACATCTCGATCGCCGTCAATTGCCTCGGTGGTCGAAGGCCGCATGGATTGCCCCTCCGACAGCAACTCATTGCGCGAAAAGTTTCTGGGAAAGGCAATCGTTAGAGAGAGTTAGAGAGGAGAGGCAACGCCTACCTGTTGACTGCACTCAGTTCCCTTTGCCGGGCACGTGTGCGTCCCAGCAGCAGCACAGCCAAGAGCAGCAGCATCAGCAGCAGGATGGCCAGCGAGCTGATTACAACCAAAGCCACATTATTCTTCACCGAATTGAAGAAACCCGCCTGGCCACTGCGCGGAACAGGCGCCAATGCCGTAGCTGTGGGTTCCCTGATGTAAGCTACAAACACACACAAAATGGAATATATTTACAAGCAATTAAGAGCAAGTATAATTGCCCAAGCTTACGTTCAGATTTCATGTAGATGGCCTGCCCAAAGGTGCTCACCGCCTCCGCCTCGCTGACCAGTTCCATGTCTTTGGCGGCTGTCGTGGCCAGCACGGGTCGTCCATTCACCAAGACCGTGTAAATAAGCTCCGTTTGATTGGCTATGGGACGATCATTGCTGTAGGAGTATGCAGGAAACTTTATGCATAAATAATACACATTAAAATTGAGATTTAATTACAATTTGAGATTGACAAAGTTGACGTGTTCCATGGCATCCCCATTGGGGTTTGTGCTCCAATTCTGCACTTCTGCCTCGCTAATTTGCGTGAGATTATGTATGACTACCCGAACACGCCCATCCCTGTAGAGCGGCACAGGTTGTGGCTGTTGCTGCTGTTGTTTTTCCAACTTCGTTTCCTGCAACTTCTCAGACTTTCCATTCCGCTGTATCAGCTCCCAGGGTATCAGTGTCACGTAGGCGCTGTAATCCACAGACTCCGTGCTGGTGCTGCTGCTGCTGCTGGTTGCTGGTTCCTCCTCCGAATCACTTGACCATTCACTCCTTTCACCCACAGCCCTAACAGTTTTAATGTACGCTTCATCATCGCCTGCCATGTCCAATATTTCCACTTCATCGGATGGGGAATCAGTCGGCGGTTGGGGTTTTGTTGTCGATGTTGCCAGGGGAGATGACTTGCGACGCTCTCGTGGAGTTGGAGCCACCAAAACGCCTTCGATTTGCTGTGCACCATTTATGCCCAGATGTCGTGTTTGTTGCCTTAAAGTTTGCACAATTATAAAATGTTGTCGTTGTCTTTGATCGTTTTTACCTGGTAAAAGCCAGACGATAGAGACGCGCCAGCTTCTCCTCCAGTAAGGGGTTGTCCTTGGCTGTGTAGAAGCCCGAGACGACTGTGAGTAACCAATAGCGACGATCTGTTGATGAGTAGTTTAGTGGGGGCATGCCAGGAGCGCCCAGATCCCAAGTGCCGCCACCATCATCAGGTCTGCAGTCCAGGCAAATGGGAATATCGATTTCCTGCAGAGAAAAATGAGTACCCAAAAGGTCCACGTAGATTCTAGTTGAAGTGGTTCTGCAGACTCACATTATTGCCATCCACATAGACGGTGGCCACCACAGTTTCTGTCTTGACAATCACATCCTTGCCTTTGCTGATGCCCGTGTGGACCTTCTTGAGATAATCGGGTGGACCATCCCCAGAGCCAGTCCAGAAGAAGTCCTCCAAGTGGATCTCGTCTTTGATGTCCAGATAATCATCATCGGAGTCATCTGCAAAACAATTTTTAAGTAAGTATTAATATTGATAAAGCATTGGCGTACTTTTTTTAATGCATTTTCTTTGCTTTTCCCTCTGCATGTATCACCCCTTTTCGCGTTTGTTTGATCAATTTAGCCAACGGCAACATGAATCGGTTCAATAAAAAGCTGTTGCCACTGACAAAATTATGCTTGTGGTTGAACTATGTGCATACATACCTCAGACTTCGATGGCCTGAATGACTAGAGCCAGAGCGCGCACTCTCTCTCCCCATAGACAGCCATAAATATATCGATTAGCGGAAGCAAATCCTTGCTTCCATAAACAGAAATCTGCTCTTAACAATAAGTGTTCTTGCGTGTTCGAGTTGCAATTAACTTGAATGTGGGTACATATTGAATGTGCTTCGTACACCTGTGCCGATTTCACAGGTCAAAGCACCTGGGTCAAGCCTGTAACCCAGCCTGTAACTTGCTTTGCCTGCAATTAGTCTTTAATGCTTGTCCCATATTTTTGGCTATGATGAATTTGGTAAATCAGTTTTACATCATTCTCAGCGGGCACTGACGCATAACGCATAACGCCAAAGGTCAAATTAATTGCTACCCCGTCAACACCAGCCAGCCAAACAGTTCTACGCCAAAGCCCACCGAATAGTACTTGGGCAGTACTAGTAGAGCACAACAGCAAGTTCCCTGGATGCTCAGCTTACCGTGACTCAATTGTATAAGCGGCTGCTGACCAAGTCCAAGCTGCTGCTCCGACGTTGCCTTTCGACCACTGCAGCTGTGGCTGTGTATAATGGCCAAGAACGCAATGAGAAGCATCCGAAACGCAGCTTTAACTTTCATTTTCACATTAAAAAATCGTTCGGGAATCAAAAGTTGTCACACAATTAGTTTCCCTCTGTTACGCGTTACTTGCACCGTCGAACGTTACCCGGGAACTAAGTGCTCCATTGTAATCCAAACATGCCCGACCATGGGTGGTTGTTCCTCCAAGCTCGAGCTCTCTCTCTCTCTCTCTCTCTCACTGTCTCTCTGTTTGGGTCGCTTGGCTGGTTACCTGGACAACGGGCAACGGGCAACGGGCAGCGGAAACGGCAACAGGCAACCCCACCGGGAAAGCGAGCCAGGCATCAGCTCGCAGTTTGGTAAACAATGAAAAGCAATAACATACTCTTCGGAAAATGCCGCTAGATCGGAATTTTCTTTGCCCATTGTCAGCAGGCACAGCAGGGGCCATACAAATAACTACCAATAAAGCTCGTTCTGCAGCCACTAATTAGGTACATAAATCATACATTATTAAATTATAAATTAATAAATCATGAATCGTAGTTGGCACCTGTAGCCAAAAGTGCCGGGGTTTTACGTGAAAAATCCCCCAAAATGATCATTGATCATTCAACAAAAACAAATCTGTTTGCTCTACAAGTTTCTCAGGAACCAGTCTACTCTGGGCTGCTATAATTATAGTCTTTTGCCAGCTTCTGGGTGCTCATAAGATAATGAAAAATCGTCAAGTTCTTGAGTCATTTTATTTCCGCATATTACATGTTAATATTGGATTGGTCCTTGAACCCATACTTTGCCAAAAGCTAGATACATCTTTGATGTAAACCCCACCAGCGATCTTTGTTTTGTTTTGTTTTGCATAAAAACACTAAGCTGTCCATCAAACGAATATTTACAATGTTCTCTCAGCATGGGGAACGTGTTTTTATGTCGCTAATTTGTCTTCACATCAAGACTTTGAGATTTTTCGAAAGGTCAAAATTATTACGCAACCGAAAACTCGTCTATCCAGAGGAGCTTAATAATGATAATGAAACATCTAAACTTGATCTTGGAATAGAAATAGAAGCAGTTTCAAATTGTAGAACCAGTTTTCCCGCTGATCAATGGTTAGATATTATTTTGAGGTATTTTTATTTTAGTTTTATCTACGAATTATTGCAAGACACTGAACAAATTGTTTATCCAGCAGCGGACTTCAAAGCGCCGGGGCTCAGCTTGCGATTCTTCAGCTGATAGCGGGATTTGTAACCATCCTTATCGGCCGTGTACATGGTCACAGTCTCGGTGTCAGTCTTCTCATCGTAGACGGAGTAAGAACCCATGACAACGAGCTCCTCCTTGTCCGTGCCAGGATTCATAATGACACCGATCTCCTCCCGCTTGCTGCCATTGGGCTCCTCCAGGCTGCAAAATGAAACACATTTTTATGTTCCAACTGGAATGGCGGCTTTGTCTTGACTTACTTGAAGCGGTAACCCTCTTTGGTGGGCACTTGATTGTAGAACTCTGTGATGATCGTTGGGTAAACATAGTCCAACAGACCGCCAGAGCAGCTGGCTGCCATAATGGCCACCAAGGCAGTGAGAAGTAGCTAGAAAAGTCAGCGAAGTGCACCGTAAGTACTCGTTGTATATTCCAATTCAACGTTAATTATCGTTGTTTGCACAGCTGCATGACAACACTGATTGCTACTGTTTAGATTCCTCGCAGATTCTTCACACGCCAGCGTAATTACTGATCATTGGCACTGCCTTAAAGGTCGCGGTCTCGGACTCCACCCTTGCCCTGAGTTTGCTTACCAGTTTCGCTGAGGCCATGTTGATGCGCGCTGAAGTTACCAAGCGATACTAAGCCATCGGACGCGAGCCCCCAACTATATAAAAGTAAAGATCTGCATATGTTGCCAAAGCTCTGCCGCTGGCTATGTGTGCTGAGGATCGTATAAGTCATATTTTACTACTTAGTTGTTGTCACTAAAACCGGTCAGACGAAACACCCAAAGAATGCCAGAGCCATCAGCTGGGCATATCTTTGCTGATTTGTTTGTTTAGTTTTGGGGCATCGAAAACGATTAGAGAATGTTGCGAGTCCCAAGAATGTTGTGAATAGTTCTCAAAAATAATCTGTTCTACTCATTCGTTGTGTTTTTTTCTGAAACTTTTAGCATTTGGATCATAATGTGGCTACCCTTGAAGCTAATTTGGGCAAATCATCTGCTGATCAATGGCATGTGCACAAATTCAAAGTGAAGTATTAACATCTGTGTGTACATATTTATATGAATATTAATTTGATATTTGCATTCGGTATTTGTGGGATCGGATCGGGTTCTACTTAAAAGCACCCCTAACTGGTTTTTGCACGGCACTATGTGGGTGTTTTAAGAGGCGTTTCGGGTAATGATGGATTTCCCATTGTGCTTAGCAAATGTCCAGACTTTGGACAACCTTTGTTTGAATCACCGTTGGGCCCAACATGATGTGTTCAAGATTCATGACAGGCAGATAACATTTTGTGTGACTAATTACACGACTTTTTCCAACCAGCTATGTTCCGGATATTCATTATAATTTGTATGAAAATGATGTAAAATTAACTTTAATTATTCAGTTCGTTATTTACTTTATTCAAAGTAAATGTTGCGCACCTTTCGACAACAGCATTGTGTAGAATACATATAACTACACTACAAGTAGAAACCGCATGTAGATGTGTAGTTCATGTAAATTGCAACAGATGGCGCTACCTGCAACCGAATCGCAGCACTGTCGCTCGCTGGTCTGGCAACACCCTGCCATAACGGCGACTAAGTTCTTTCACTTACGCTTTTCACTGCTTCTTTTTGCACGCGCTACAGTGGGACGGATTAAGTTTTCAGCAGGCAAAGTGCTCTGAGCGATTTTGCTGGAATTAAAAAATAAATTCTTAAATTTGACCTACTAAAAGAATTCTGTACGATAAATAGGTTGGGTGTTGTTAAGGACTAAATACAATGCATTACAGTGCAGAATTTCATGCAACCTTTGAGTCAGAAAAAAGCAGTAAAAACGTTAATAAATCCTTTGACATTTTGCCATAATATAAATCTACGGACTAAGTCACTGTGTGTGCCTCATCTGACAATGATAATTAATTAAGCTTAAGTTTCCATGCATAGTTCTCAAAGGCAATCTAATCTGCAGCAATGCTGGGGCCATTTGTTAAAATTTGATCCATTTGTGAGCAGAGATTTACTGCCAGAATCAAATCACAGCACAGCTCACCCACGAGGCAGCCTGAAATCTCTGAGCAGTAGTCGATAAGATATTCAATGGGGTGTAGAGTGGTCAATCATATGCTCAAAATAGTCACATCATAAACTCAATGAAAGTTCACCAAAAACTCAAACAGAATTATGACAATCAAAGTATCGATTGGGGAAGAATGAAATTTAGAGCTTGAGATTCGCAAGCGATTAATGAATGGCAGGAGAAATGTGACATGGAAGTTGAAAGAGGGAATTTACTCTATAGAAAAATTTACCATGAATCCTGGTGATATTTCCATTCTGATGGACACCCAAGTAAAGCAAGAAATCAATAAGTTCAGATACATTTTTGTTTCATTTTTCTGTGTTTATTTAAGTACTACTTATCATAATACTCATCGTTGGCTATTGATTTACAATATAATACTATGCACAGCAGTAATATCGTGGAGGTGGGACTCGGATTTGGATTTCGCTCAACAAAATTCCACAAAAAAACATTCGGCAAAAGCAAAGGCCAAAGGTGCGAAACGAACAAATCGTGAAATAAATATGCGTAGAGTTAGATACCTAAACTAGGCGACAATGGAGGGGGATTGCCCCAACTTAAATGCTAATCAAGGTGCTAGCCATGTGAAAACGCGACTTTGGCCATTTTGCGTGGGAGACCAGTCGATGACCTCGCCGGGGACTAAGACTAGGCCAGCGACTAAGACAGCGACTAAGTGTGACGAGGTTGCAGCGGTCAGCAGCGATCACATCTCTGGCAGCTCTCAGGCCGAGCCCTTCTCCGCCAGCTTGGAGTGCAGCGTGGTCAGATCGTAGATCACGACCAGATCCTTGTTGAGGCCCTCAAAGACCTGCGCCACGCGTGGCTGCAGATTGTAGAAGAAGAGCGGCTGCTGGCGCTGGGCAAAGTCCATGACCATCGTGGAGATGACCTTGGCGGCGGTGAAGTCCGCTCCGTAAATGTGTGTGCAGTCGATGACCACGGGCAGCGTGGACTTGACACCCTGCTTGTTGATCACCTTCCGAACGAACTCCATTGAGGGGAAGATCAGGCAGCGATCGGGGGTGAGCATCAGATACTTCAGGCCATTCGATGTCTGTGGGGAAGGGAGAAGTAAGCTTAGAGATCTGATAATTGGGAAAGAGACTCTGGTAAGGACTCACCGCCAGTGTTTCAATGCGCAGCTTGGGGCGTGCTGCTTGGTAGAGAATGAACACCACATTGATGCCAATGCCCACGAGAATGCCCAGCTGCAGGGGCAGCACCAAACAGGCAAAAAAGGCACCCAGGCCAGGAATGAGATCGGTTTCTGGTATAGAGCATAAATGAGCATTTACAGCAGATATATCCTACAAGATCAACTCACTTTTGCTATGCCACATGGGCTTGATCACACGATATTGCACCATAAAGACCACTGCTGCTATGATGATGGAGGCCAGCGCTGCCTTGGGTATGTAGTAGAAGCAGGGCGTGAGGTAGAGCAGGGCAATGATCACAATCACACTGGTGTACAGGTTCGAGAGCTGAGTGCGCACTCCGCTTGCATTGAGAATGGCGCCCCGGGCAATGCCTCCGTTGCTGCGCAGACCCTGGACAAAGGAGTTGGCCACGTTGCAGATGCCCGAGGCAATCAGCTCCTGCGTGGCATCCGTGGGTTTGCCATCAGCTGGGAGAGAGAGGGAAACACAGAGTCAGCGAGGTTGGCTCGTTGGATTGACTAGAAAAACTCACCAAAAGCCTGAACCACTGCCATCGTTTCGAGCAGCGCAATCAGCGGTACGACAATGAGACCCGAGCCCAGAGTGCTGACCATCTCCCAGAAGCTCTGGCCATCCACCAGCACCTCGCCAGTGGTCTCGTTCAGCACGGGATCGATGTGGAACGGCGGTGGCTGGAAGGAGGGCATGCCCTTGGGCACGAATCCCACGGTGCGGACGAGATCCTCGTTACCGCTCACCGACAGCCAGTAGCCGAGTCCTGCAGTGCCGCAGACGAGGAGCGCATTCCGGGCCGTGCCCACCGTCCAGAAGATGCCCGTGAGCAGCGATTGGGTGGAGGATTTGCCCTCCTTGGGGCCAACGCTGCAGCTGGCAAGGGCGCGCAGGCTGAGCAGCAAAGTGATGCAGATGAGGCCGAGAATAAAGTCCGGCCAGCTGATGTTGTGGATGTCGTTCACGATGCTGATCCACACCTGCAGGAAGGTGTTGCCACTGGTCTGAATGCCGAGAAAGTCCTTCATCTGCGAGCTGAAGATGATCAGGGAGACGGCGCTGGTGAAGCCCGCGCCCACGGGTCCCGACACAAAGTCAATGAGGAAGCCCAGCCGGAAGGCGCCCATCAGGATCTCAATGATGCCCGTGAGGAATGTGAGCAACGTGGCAATCTGCCAGCTCCCCCCAGCAATTTGGAAGGACAACAGCGCGGAGATGGCCGTCGGGCCAATGGGCACATCCTTGCTCGATCCAATGAAGATGTAAATGAAGCAGCCCAGAAAGCAGGCGTACAGTCCGTACTGCAGATCCAAACCCGCAATGCCAGCGTAGGCCAGAGCCTGGGGAATCACCGTCAGCGCCACGGAGATGCCAGCGACAATGTCCCCGAAGATGTAGTCCTTTTTGTACTGCGGCAGCCACGTGAGGATGGGGAAGCGCTTGTACAGCGTCTTCTTGCGGAAGATATTCCGCCACAAGCTGCGGCAGCAGCCACTCGATGCCTCCAGGCAGCTCTCCGACTCCCCGGACTGCTCCTCCTGCACAATGCAATCGCGAGAGGTGTGATACAGAGTGTTCGTCGGGATGTCCAGGGAGACCTCAGAGTCCTCACTGAAGGCGCCATTGGTGTGGCCATTGTTCTCGCTGCGCGTCATTCTCGATGGTTAGTTATTGATTTTATCTCTCTTCTTTTATGTTTTGTTGTTCTCTCTATCTCTGGAGATGGAGCTACATGGCACTCTCACGGGAAACACTTCACTCGAAACACTGATTGATCTGCGATCTGTGATGCTCTGGAGCTGTAGCAGAACTGTACCGAACTATTCGCGTGCCCGTCCACTGGGGTAATGAAACGCAAACTGTCGCAGAGATCGAGCCAAGAGCCAGCAACGGCAGCAGACTAACAGTCCGCCGACTGCTGGGAACTGATTATAAACAGTCGCTGGCTGCGGCAGCGCTTTCGAGACTATCCGCCGGCTTTCGTTATCTCCCTCCGCCAGCGATCCCCAGCCAGCATTAACCGCATGCCCCAAAACCGGCTATCGACGTGTCCCAGCCGGGAGGGATGGGGCTTTTCATCGTGTAATTGCCACGAAGATATGTAAATGACGCAGACCACAATAAGCCCCTTGTGTGGGCGGAACTTGGCTGTAAGTCGAGACTTTTGCAGTGGGGAAAAGTCATAGATTTTGTACTGGGGGAAACTCCGATTCAAATGGTATCAAAATGCCATACTTTCCGGTTAAATTCGTGCGACAGATATTAATTCTGTGAGCACAAACTGACATCAATTTATGTACTTTTTCCTTATAACTAAAGGGAACATTTCCTAACAAGAATTAGTGGGAAGACTTTCACAATGGTTTCTCGATGGAGCTGAAATGATGTCTTCAACTTCGACAGTTGGCCCCCAGGTTTTTACCCCTAAGCACAGGGCATCCCTTAGTCCCCCTACCCAAGTGTTCGCCTGTTTTGTTGTCTTTTGGAAAATCAACAATTTTTGATATGATTTTCCACACGTGCTGGCACCGAACATGGGAATCTTGGCAAGTCGCTGCATTCCCATGCTAATCGTTAGAATTTTCACGCCCCAAGATGTAGATTGAAGGCACAACAGCCAGCAGCAGGTTCCCAGGCTACTCCCCCAGGCCGCTTTCCACATGATTGCCTTAATGCAAATGTAAATGCAAATGGGAGTAGAATTTGTATACATTTTGTATGCCAATGCATTCGATTGCATCATTTTTTGCTAGGGTTTCGAACTTGGCATGATTATGGCATTAATCTAATGCAAGTTTTGTTTGGTTTAAAGTTTGTTTCCCTCTCTTGACCGAATTGTGTAGCCTCTTGTAGCGCCACAGCAGAACGGAGATTATCTTTACTGCCCTGCCTGCGGGCTATCGGCTACCGTCTATCGTTTGGCGACACGGGAAATCAATCAGCCGCCATGAGCGAGTGTGCATATAAATCTATTTGAAGTGTGTGCGCTCTATAAATCAAACGTGTGCGAGTGCAAGTACTAGTACGGCTGAGATAAAACCCGGAATTTGGCTGCCACGCCGTGCCACTCCGTGCTAAGTTCTGTCACTATTTCGGCATCGCCCCAAAACCGGTTGAGCTCTGCCACACGCAGCACCTTATTAAACATATATTATTAGTCCGTCAATCTGTCAATCTATATCTATTGGCACATGTAAGTGGAAATAAATCAACAGCCAATTAAATGGAGTGTTGCGGTTTAACTGCGGAACTGCATTTTGTGGTCTTGTCTGCTTTTGGGATCTTTCCCACTTTGCTCTCGAAGAATTTTCTGCAGAATTCAAGGCATTAAAAACTGGATTGGCTTCCTGGGGGGTTTTTTTCCAGATACTGAGGCACTGCTGCAAAGTGGTGACCCTCTTTGTTATTAATCGCTTATTAAATCATTTTCGAAGTCGCTTGTCTTCTCTTCAGCCAAATGGGGATCACGCGTCCAGTGGCTGATCTATTGCGCAGAGGCTGGAAACGAGCGATCAAAACCAATGGAAAACAGACACCTTTGCCTCAGAGTGAGTGTAAGCCGAACATTGATTGCCCTGCTCCAGCGATCTTCTAAGGAATGTGAGTGGAAAGCACATTCCATTTCCCCTGCCAAGCGATCTCTGCTCTGTGACACTTTCACGCCATAGATCCATGAATATTTATGGGCAAGTTCCATTGCCCGCTCGTTCAGGTGATTGCTCGATGTGTTCATAATTAAATATGTAACACTCTGCGGGGTAATTTACGTTACTCATACGCAGTCGTACAATCCCCTCAGGGGATGGGTGGACCTGGCACATTATAGAACAATTAAATGTGCATAACTAACCCGGAGAATCAGTCAATTATTATTTTTGAGCACATTTAATTCGCTTTTAATTTCGCTGGCGTGCGGATAATTGTTTTTTGACTGATTCTCTGCTCTGTCTGTCTTTCTGTCTGTTTGTCTTCTATTTGTTTTTTATTTTTTGGGTTACTCATCCATTATCCGTGGCCAAGAGGTGCTGCTGTCGCTCTGTCTCTTGTTTGGTCAGCATAAATCTTGACTATGCGCGTGGGTGGCCTACTTTTGGAGAGATTTGTGATCTCTCTCTGTCTCCTTCTCTCTCTCTCTGTCTGGGCCCTTGAGCATGCCCAGATTTCGTTCGCCCAAGGTGTTTGCCTGGAATTATGATTGATAACGGCAATCACGTGGAGAGTTGGGAGTGGGGAGTGGGGAGTGGGGAGTGGGGTGGCCTCCGTTGGCGTAGGCTTGTTCGTCCATCTGTATGCACTGCTTGCTCCAGATATTTGCTTGCATATGGAAAGCACGTTCCAGGTATTCGCACGAGTATGCGCATAACTGCAATTGTACAATTACAGTTGCATCTGTATCTATAGGGTAGATCTCGAAAGAAAGAAAGGCAAACGGCGGCAAGCCCCGAACAATGAATGACAAACAGAATAAACGAAATAAACAAATAAACTGTTAATTGTGCACACGGTTAAACATTGCGCAAGCACATCACCACCCACCTCCCACTCCCCCCCTGCAGTCGTGTGCAGCGGCCTGCATTGAGGCGTGTAAAGTACCCGAACCCCGAAGTAAGGCTTCACGTGACTCAAACCCGTCCATCGGGTATCCACATAGCATATCGGAATTTATGCGCGAGACATCGTCTCGGCGACAACTGAGGTCGCAGGCGAGGAAGTTCCCCCTTCCCATGTAATGGATGTCAGGGACCCAGGTTCAAGGCAGTCCAAGCCGAAATGTCCTGCAAAAACAGATTTGCTGCAGGCAAAACGAGAACAACAAGCCATCAATTGGCAAGCCTGGCCAGCGCGATTCTCTCTCACGTGATCGGATTTGAGCCAAAAGGCGATCCGGGTTGCTTTTATGGCGGCAATAACCGCAGCAAATGGCAGCGAAACTGAATTAATTTTGGTCACATGACCGCGCCAGAAGCAAACAAAACAAAAGCAGGAGAGAAAAAAAGCACATTGTTTGTTTATTTTTACCCAACACCATCATCATTAGAGGGGTACTCAAGAGCAGAAAGGAAAGTTTTTGTAAGGGAATATCAGAGAAGTGAAGTATGAAATGTAAACCATAACTAGAGGGTTCCAAATGTTCGAAGACAAAGGAACACTTCTTTCTGTTAAGTGTACCCATTTAAACCCATATGAGAACTTATTCTTTCTAAACTTTAATCCACTCTTGAGCACCCCTGCTGTAGCTGCCGCTGAGCGATGATTATTCCGTGCTAGTCATCTAAAATGATAATTTCCGAGCGAGATCTGGTAGTGTGACTAGTTTGATATGTTGTTGCAATCTCCAATTGATTTGTGCTGCCAAACAAAATGCAAATCATTCTACGCTCCGGCCAAAAGGGAATAGCTCCAGCTATGGGAAATATCTATATCCCCCGCACGAGTGGGTAAATTGTGTCCCATTAAATTGCGGCTAATTTCGCAGTCAGGTACTAAAACCCATCCAATCAAGTGGCGTGCTAATGGGCGGCCAACAAGCTACACAAATTAACAAATCAATTTTCGCTTGTGATAAACAAAAAGTCAAACAAAATCACACGACGGAAACTACAGAGCAGCGCGGAGCGGTTATCAGTCATGCCAAAATGCCAAACATTTCAGCGGGCGAGACAATTGAAATTGTAATTGGATCTGAAATTGGCACGGGGGGGAATCATAGCATATGGGGGGAGACACATTACCCAAACAATTGATGGTCCGCTAATGGAAAGGGATCCATATGCGACTGCGATGATCTGTACACGACCCGTGCCTCCAGGCGGAAGGGAGTTCAATGCACGCCATGCCATGCCATGCCAATGCACACGCGACTCGTTCCCGGGGGGACAGGGCATGGGATAATTCCAGGCATGTGAATTGTTTTAGTTCAACATTTAAATCTCAACAATTAGCATAGCAGTGTCTCCCTTTGCCTAGATTAGTGTGAGATTTCCTGGAGATTATCTAGCGCGTTTTTTTTACAATGTTTTTGTTTGCCACGGTCTGAGATAATGGAGCAGCAGATGTCACATTGATGGAGCCAAAAGCCCGCGCTCTGTTCCAGATACAATCTTGGCGCTTTGCTGTGTTCCGTTTTGCTGTTTGGATTTGGGCGTGCAAACAGCGCAAGGTTTATCGCACTTGGCCTCTCTAGGTGGAGGCCAGAGCCCGGCAAATATGCGCCATTGGCTGTGATCAAATATAGATAAAAGGCAAAGGTACCGATCGTCATCGCAGCTGCATTCCTGGAGCATTTAGCAATGCAAATTTCTCGCATACCAGATGAATCTCTAAAGCTCTGCGGATGCCTGATTTATGTGACCTGAAGAGCGGGCAGGTGGTCTCTGATTTATGTCCCAGACAGTGCTCCCTGCTGTTGCACAAGCTTTAGTCACGGCAGATGCAGTCGGACATTCCATCAGCTCCGTTTGTAATCTTATCGGATGGGCACTGCCACTTCGTAGTTACCGCAGACAGGCAACATCTGTCAGCAGCTACTTGGGTGTTTGTGTGCTGCAAATTATGATGATTTATGGCGCAAGGAATGGCCATTCAATTAAGTGGATTCCAGCCATAAATATATGACGCCTTTATGGATCGCTGTACTGGCTAATCTGCGCTGCTAACCGGTGTTTCGGATTTGAGTACAATCAGATTTTATTTCGACAAAGTATTGTGGGTGGGGTGGCTAAAGCTTAAGACTAAAAGAGACACAAAAGGTGAGATTGCATCCTGGAGAAGCACACGAAACGAGTGGAGTGTTGTGTTGTTGTCGAGTGTTGTGTAGTGGGCCTGCGCCTAAAAGTATGCCATGCTAATCAGTGTACAAAAATGTGTATTGGATTCTTTTGTTTATTTTTGAGCAAAACGAGCGAGCGCTGAGCGACGACTCTTTCCAGTGATTTTCTAAAGCGAAAGAAAAACAAACAATATAAAGAAGAACATCGTTGGATGAAACATTTCTGTGACCTCAACAAAATGAACCGAAAGTGTGGCTGAGTGTATGGTTGAGTGTGTTGGTGTGTGTGTGACTGCGAGTGTGGGTTGTGTGAAGCGTTGTCCACCTAGTCCTCCAGGGTTACATTGCGGAAGAGATACGACATGGACTCCTTGTTGTGAATGCGACGTATAGCCTCAGCGATCAGTATGGAGATGTCGATCGTCTTGATCTTGTGGCACTGCAGTTTCTGTATCTCGTGTGGAATGGTATTGGTGACAACGATCTGGGCATACCAAAAAAAAAGGAATAATTATAGAAAAACCAATGACAAAAGGTTGCCCTAACAGACCTCATCAATGCACGACTCATCCAGCAGACGTGGCGCATCCGAGCTGAGCAGACCGTGCGTGGCCAGCACGTAGATCTTGCAGGCACCATTCTCCTTAAGCATCTCCGCGGCAGCCACAAACGATTGAACATCATCAATTAGGTCATCCTAAGGGAGAGGAAACAGTTATGAGTAGGGAACAGGCATTATCAGGGTGTAATTACTTACCACCATGATGGCTATGCGTCCATTGACATCGCCCACAATCGTAAGCGGTGGCTTGACCTTCACTGGATGCTCCGGCACACCCACCGACACCGAGGTGGTGCGCTGACGGCTGCTGCTGCTTATGGGTGCGTGTTGTGGGGTAGAGTTTCTTTATGGATTAGAGACGAGTCGGGAGTCGAGAGTGTGGTGCATGTGTGGTGCGTGTTGGGTAACCAAAAAAGAAACAAAATCATGTTGGTGGGGGTTCGGGAGTGGGGTGGAAAAGTGTGAAAATCGATTAGAAATCATAAATTAATTAATCAAAAGTGAGAATAATCAAATGAATAAAATAAATACGAACCTAGGCGCCGCTGGTAAGCACATTTCAACTGAATTTCCTAATAAATTGCTATACGCACTGCTTGGACACAAATAAAGAGAAATTTCGTTTTTGGTTTTTCTTTCGTTTCGGATGCACGAATTTGTGGAGTTTCGGATTCATCAGACACCAACCAAAATGGCCAAACTCGTATTGAGTTGTGTGTGGACTTTGGCAGTGAATGGAAACAGAAGCGAAAGCGGTGGCAAAACAATCAGAATAAAGCGGCTACAAACAGGAGTTGTACTACGGATAAAGTGCCAACGACAGAACAGATCTAAGTGTGTGTGAAGTGTGTGTTTTAGAGATGTAAGAGACATGCAGGGATGGACCATTAATTCAATTAAATTCTCTCTGATAAATTATCGATCCTTGACTCATGTATTCAATGACTCTTTTGTCTGTAAAGATTAGAGTGTGTAGGAGTCAAAGAATCCCCAAATATGTGAGTTTCCCTCCCATTTCTCTTACTCCTCCGAAACACACACATTCCCATTTCTAATATTATTCAAACAAATGCAAATTGTACAATGATTTGATAGCTTTTGTGGTAAAACATTAAAGTGCTTTTTCAACTATAAAACAAAACAAAATCTAGTGCAAAGTTGTGCTAAACGAATGATTTCAAGTGCGCTTCCAGCTTCGGTTATAAAACAAAGCCTCGAGGGGAAAAACACAAACAAAACTCGAAGAACAACTCAAGACAGATAAATTGCTGGAGTGCCAAGGGGATAGCAGTGAAGCCTACAGCGGAGATCTGCGAAAAACACAAACTGTGGTCTTACCTGGTCGGTGGTGGCGAGTAACGGCCATCGACCTCGTCGCTCTCAGCCTCCTTTTGCTCGCCATGGATGACAGCCAGGCCCAGGCGCAGTCGCTCCGCATACGAGTTGGCCTTTTTGGCCACGCCAGGATTACGGGCCACAATCACGGAATTCCGATATTCGGGTATCTGCAAGGGAGATTGATTCACTTAGTTGTAGACTAAACAAACTCTTGCTGGTTTGCTCACGCTCTCCTGAATGTACTGCAGCAGGAAGGGCGATGCCCGCAGATTGTCCACGGGTATGTCGAAGAAGCCCTGAATCTCCTTCTGGTGCAGATCCATTGTGATGATGTGCGTGAGGCCGGAGGTGCACATCATCTTGGCCAGCAGCTTCGAGACGATGCAGCCACGTTTGCGCATCTTGCACTGCTTCGAGTACGGCAAGTACGGGATCACGCCCACAATGGAGCGAGCCGACGAGGTCTTGCACGCATACGCCATGATAAGCAGCTCCATAATGTTGTTGTTGGCATCCCTAGAGAAAACAAGAGACGAATATTAGCTGGGGAAACCCTTTGGCATGGAGACTGCATCTACTTGGTGCCCGTTTGGATGATGTAAATGTCCTTGCCCCGCACCGAGTCACTGATCTCGACAATTGTCTCACGGTTGGACTTGTGGAAGACGGAACAGCCGCCGTTCTTCAGGCCCATGCGCTCGGCGACCATGTTGGCCAGATCCGGATGCGAGTTGCCATTGATGATGACAATGTCCGAGGTGGAGGTGTTGTCCATGTCGCTCCTGCAACGCTTCGGTGGGCGCACGCTGCCTAATCTGTAACGTAGAAAGAGGATTAGATGGGGAAACACAAAGCCAAAGTGGGGGAAAAACATAATTCAAAACAGAAAGCGGGGAATGAGTGGGGTTTGGTTTGCTACCTGCGTTTGGACATGCTATCGTGGATTTGGGTTCATTCACTTCCGTATGCCGTAATGTATCCCTTAATCCCTTACACATTAATATAACGCATACGCCACCGCGTTGCCGCAGTCGTTACCGTTCCCACGTTACCACCACACGCGGGCTCCTTCGGTGGTGGCCTATCGATTAGCCCCAGTGAACCAATTTCGCAACAGAACCGAGCTAAGGGAACGCAACTGCAATTAGTGCCGCTGCTGCTGCTGCTACTTTGTTGCCCAGTTTGTTGGCGACTTTCTGGCTAAAGCCACCAGAAAACCAGTAACCGCAGTCGATGCGCCACTGCGCATTCCTTCTTCCGGAATTCCGTTATTGATCAAACAAGCGGCACACATGTGAGTGGCGTGGCAACGTCAGCGTGTGGGTCGCCGTCAGGCCCCACAGCGGAAGAACCGCCACTCAGTCCGTCAGGCAGTACGTGGGCAGGAGGTGCGGTGCCTGCTACACGGGGATTAACACCATCTCAGATAGAAATCTACGCGCACGCGACTTGCCGCGACATTCGAGTGGCATCGAAGAAAAGTGAAAGGGAAAGCTCAAGGGAAAGCCCAAGGCACAGTGCGGGACCCGTTCGGTGGCTAATTGAATTTCTATTTCTGAATTCCCTCGCAGGTCACTCGAGGGCTACGAGCAGCAAGTGCATGGGTTGAGCTGCAGGAGGCACAGGAATGGGCGATTCAGGTGAGTGAAGTGGCCATAAATGGGGCAGCGGTAAGGAATCTTAGATGTCAGGCATATTTTTTGTGGCCAGAACGATAATTGAATGCCCTAAAAGAAGGTGGAAAGAGCGCTTGGATATGCCCTAGAAGTGAAGCTAACTTGTGGTTGGGTTTAACTTTAGGAGAAGTGCGGAAAACTTTGAAATGTTTTGAACATTCAGGAAGGAAAAGCGTAAAGATAGAGTGTATCCAGGGAACTATAAGTATACCTTCCACAAAGACAGAAATATTACGATTTTCGTTCACTTTTTCACACATAAAAAAGAAGAGGAAATGGAAAAAGAATGAGAAATAATCCAAGAGCTTCTGGGACTCAAAATAGTCCAAGAATATTACAAAAGGAAGGATGGAATTCAATTTAGTTCCCTAATGCAGGGTTATAGCTATCAGATTTCCCTCTTTAGGGTGTCGATGAAGTCATTCGAAGAACCTTCAAGTCTCTTGGCATTCCACATGCCTCCTTCAGGAAGGAGCAAGGGAAACCCAGGGCGGTAGGACGGTAGGGCGGTTGTGGCGACGCAACCACGAGGCGACGACTATTCAATTTTAGACACATTTGACGTCTCGTTTAGACTTTTCTTGAGGCGTTTGCTGGGTGCAGCAGCGAGTGCAATGGAAACTTGCGGCACGCATATGTGTGCCACACAACGGAAGCGCAGCATGGGGCAGTGGGGGCACAAGTTTAAAGATAGCATCTGGGTGGGATTAGGCGCAGGCGAAGAAAGTTATGACACGCTGCCAGCCGTAGGATTAGGCCTGCTGCCACTTCAGGAGGGGTTCTTCGACTTAGAAGAAAGTAGAACGTTCCTCGAGGCAGACGCACAAAGCGCAGAGCACGGCACAAAAGACACAAAATGCTGGGCATAGCCTGTGATCCGCTGCAGCACACGAGCATGTACGAGCGTGGCTCGGATGGTACTTGAAGAAACCAGAAGATATAAGATCAAATTTCACTTTCATTGATCGATCTTCCTCCTTGCATTTACAGACAGCGAGGACAGCGATGGCGAGGGCGGCCTGGGCAATGTGTCCCGCGTGATCATACGTCCGCCGGGGCAGAGCGGCAAGGCAAAGCGTGGCCATTTGTGCTTCGATGCGGCCTTCGAGACGGGAAATCTGGGCAAAGCGGAGCTGGTGGGGGACTTCGAGTACGATCTGTTCCTGCGGCCGGACACGTGCAATCCGCGCTTTCGCTTCTGGTTCAACTTCACGGTGGACAACGTCAAGCAGGACCAGCGGGTGCTCTTCAACATTGTGAATCTCAGCAAGAGCCGCAATTTGTTCGCCTCCGGCCTCACGCCGCTGGTGAAGAGCTCCAGCCGCCCCAAGTGGCAGCGCATGTCCAAGCGGCAGGTGTTCTTCTATCGCTCGGCCATGCATCAGGGCCACTACGTGCTCAGCTTTGCCTTCATCTTTGACAAGGAGGAGGATGTCTATCAGTTCGCCCTGGCCTGGCCCTACAGCTACTCCCGCCTGCAGTCCTATTTGAATGTGATCGATGCCAGACAGGGCACGGACAAGCGCTTCACGCGGAGCGTTCTCATCAAGTCGCTGGTGAGTGGCTGGTTCCTCCTCCGGTGATTTATTCTGTGATTCTCTCCCTCAGCAAAACCGCAATGTGGATCTGCTGACCATCGATCAGGTGACGCACAAGCAGCGCTCGACCAATCGCTTGGATCGCAGCTTCATTCGCGTCATTGTGATCCTCTGTCGCACGCACTCCAGCGAGGCGCCCGCCTCCCACGTGTGCCAGGGCCTCATCGAGTTCCTTGTGGGCAATCATCCCATAGCGGGCGTTCTGCGTGATAACTTTGTGTTCAAAATCGTGCCGATGGCCAATCCGGATGGCGTGTTTCTGGGCAACAACCGCTGCAACCTGATGGGGCAGGACATGAATCGCAACTGGCATCTGGCGTCGGAGTTTACGCAGCCGGAGCTGCATGCCATTCGGGGTATGCTGAAGGAGCTGGATAATTCGGATGTGAGTTTTTGGGGTGCTGGCAGTGGAAATGGAGTTTACTCACCCTGATCCTTCCCTCTTGCAGACTTATCAGATAGATTTTGTGATCGATTTGCATGCCAACAGCAGCATGCACGGCTGCTTCGTGTACGGCAACACCTACGAGGATGTCTACCGCTACGAGCGGCACTTGGTCTTCCCGCGACTCTTTGCCAGCAACGCACCCGACTATGTGGCCGAGCACACCATGTTCAATGCGGACGAGCGGAAGGCGGGCAGCATCAGGAGATTCAGCTGCGAGCGGCTCAGCGACACGGTGAATGCCTACACGCTGGAGGTGTCCATGGCGGGGCATTACCTGCGCGACGGCAAGACGGTGGCCCTCTACAACGAGGATGGATGTGAGTTCGCAGGCAGACACTGTCCGGAAGTTGCTTTCTAGATGCTCTCTTTGTAGATTACCGCGTGGGCAGGAATCTCGCGCGCACCCTGCTCCAGTACTATCGCTTCATCAACATCCTGCCCGTGCCCCTGGTGACGGAGGTGCGAGGCAAGCGCAGGGGCAGACTGCGCAACCAGCACTCTCGCTCCCGCTCCAAGACGCGCTACGAGGTCAAGCCCCGGCCCAAGACTCCGCGCTGCCATGCCCCCATCTCGTACAACAACCTGAGCATCTGCTATGACTCGGGCGGCGGAGGTGGCGGCGGTTCCTCGGATGAGGGAGGCTTCTCCCCCGTACGACCACTGGCACCGGGCAGCAGCAGCTTCAGCGGCTGCCGCAACTACCGTCGGGCGGCCACAGCCACATGCCCAGCTGCACACGACCAGTATTCCTGCTACTCCTTGGGTGCACTCAAAACAGGCAGTGACCATGGAGGAGCCATTGGCCAGGGCAAGCGATCGGCGCGGGTGACCATCGAGTTGCCACTACCTGTGAATGTACCCCCCAAGCCCTACCTCTCCATCATCGACCTGAATCAGCTGACGCGGGGCAGCCTGAAGCTCAAATCGGGTAGTTTCGATTCAGCCGACAGGCGATAAAGAGAATGAGTGAGAGAGAGAGAGAGAGATATCCGTAATTGTTCCCTTTTGTATGCTTACTGCTTCGTTGACTTTTTTTTCTAAATAAACAGTTATGCCTCTGAGCAATTTGAGCAACAAGTCAGGCGAATGAGTGGGAAGAGAATGACATTTGCTTGGGCTTAACCGCCTTATCTCTGTGCTGTTGCGCACATTTTGGCCCCCAGCCAGCAAGGGAAACGTGGGGGTGGGAGGGGGAGTCTATAGATTCGACTCATTGCAATGGCCAGAGAGCACTCATATCGGTATCATGTCTAGTGTATACAGAACGCCGTTAGATGAGACTACGAACAAATAAACAAAGAGCATCCACTGTACTGACACACTGCGCACTACGAGAAATGAGTGACGATTGTCGGGCCTTGAGCTGACCGTGCGCCCTTCCACTCAGCAACAGCACGTGAGTGCCAGAGGGCGAGTGTGGTTTCAATTAGCTGGATGTTTGTGCCAATTGTATCTTATCTTCTACACACAAAAATAAAGCAATATATAGCAATGCAGTCAGCTGTACCATCCATTACCTGGGGATGTATCGGATCGGATCGGATCGGGGGACGAGGCGACAATATTCTCACTCAGGCCAGGCCACACACACCACTCGCAGAAAACACGCGCGAAAACCGCTGATAAGAAGAGTGTGGCGAGCGTGGCAGCCAACAGGCAGGCGGAATGGGAGTGAATCAACACAAAGACCGAACCGAGCGTAAGGGCTTCCGACCTGATTAGCGCTTTCAATTAACATGAAATCAATAAAAAAGACAGACCAGACCGCACTCTTTTTTCTCGGTTCCTCTTTTGTATAAATAAAAGCGAATGGGAATAGAAGGCAAAAAGGAGCGCAAAATAGAGTGAGATGAGAGCGGCCGGCGTTGCCATACAGGCGGAGTGAGATGCGAACAGCTGTTTGATGTGGCAATATATATAAATGCACTTATTTAAATTATTCACATAAATGGTTTTAAATTTCAATGTAACAAATGTAAAGCATACCGGGGGAGGTTGGTGAGGGTAACACTTTGGGAGCAGGAACTGGTTTTTGGGTTATCACGCAATTTCAAATTGGTTAAACAAACAAAACAACTGAAACATATACACGAATATATTACTCTCACAACCTGGCCAACAGCATGTTGATGGGCACTAGGGGATTGGGGGGATTTTAAACACAAATAAACAGAGGGAGAGGGGAACAAAAATGAATTAAAAACACAAAGTGAGAGGGAGGAGGAGACACACACAGTCACAGACACTAATTAAATTAAAAATGGAACACAGAAATATGTAAATGGATAGCCAAAAAGCCTCTTTTACTTGTTCCTCTGCAGCAGCATGACGCAGTTCCTCTGAAAATGGCTGCAATTCTTCGATATCTATATCTTCTTATTCTTTCTTTCTCCTGCTCTTGTTTTCGTTGTTTTATCTGAATTATTGATTTGGAATTTTCGAGTTATTCTTACAGTCTGTCGCTGCGCGGTTACCAGTGTGACCGCGGATTTATCGATAAAATATACCGCATTGCCCTCAAAAACATCTCTTTCATTTTAAAAATATACCGTAAATCTTGAATCATTTTCTTTGGATTTAACTTTCTATTTAATATAACTCGCTAGTTAGGATTCTCAACGCTCAATATATAATTTTAATCGATTTATCAATAAATTATTCACAAAATTGGCTAGTTTTCATGACTTACTCTCATTGGATTGTGTACTTAAAAAGGGTTAAACTAAAAGGTTCAATAAAAATAGTATATTGGTATATGGTAAAGCGGTTAAAACTTGAAAGATGAAGCGTGAATATCTCGTTTTAGCGTGAAATTTAAGAAGATCATTTGTATAAAGTGCTTTTACCTAGTTGGACATGTTGCTTGTACTATTGTTTTATATCTGCGCATGTTCTGCGGATCAGGAGTATGACTATAGTTCGGCTGTCGATTCCCTGCTGGAACTGATACCGTTACAGCGCTACCATTACGGGAATTTGTCTGCATTTGCGGACAAAGTGGAGGCAAAATTGAGCACACTTCGGCGGTGAGTACTATTGTATGTAGAAAAGTGACAAATAATTCATTAATGGCGCATTGTAGTGCACTCTCCGAGATGCGCCCTGTGCTGCAGGCAGCCGAGACCCAGCAGGAGCTCTTTGTGGGCAATCCGCTGCGCGCTTATTCCCTTCTCAGGCAGCTGCACCACGACTGGCCCAATTGGTTGGATTTTGTGGAGGAACCTGTTGGCGCGGAGGAGATTAAGCACTTTCGCTCGCTGGAGCTGATGCTGCCCAACCAAACGGACATGGCCAATGCAGTTATTGGGCTGGAACAGATCCGGGATATGTATGGGCAGACGGAGCGAGATTTGGCCTCTGGGCTGCTTCATGGAAAGCAGCACAAGTGGGTTACTGCTGTCGAGAAGGGATTCTCGATTGATTATCCCCTTTTTGCAGCATCCAACTGTCAGCCTTGGACTGCTGGAGCCTGGGCAGACACTACTTTCACCGAAAGCGCTATGTGGAGGCGACTGTTTGGCTGGGGCTGACCACGGATCGATTCAATGTCAGTGAGGAGGATGTATACGCCGTTCAGAGCTTCCATCGTGTAGAGTTGTGTCAACTGCAGGCGGCATCCCTGATGCGACAGAGTGGGATTTCATTTTCCTCCTATATTTAGCCATTTCATGAGAATATCTCGCGCAGATCGCAACGAGGACGCCTTGGCTGCCATTAACGCAGCTCTGGAAATTCTCCCTTGGGACATGCGCCTGCAGAGCCTGCGTTCACGGCTGCAGAACCGCTGGCTCGTGCGGCCCCGCCTGGAGTTCGCAGAGGAACCGCGGCCGCCAGCCGACGATGTGCAGCGTGGCTGTCGCGGTCAATATCCATCGAAAACGAGACTACACTGCCGCTACAGTTGGACACCATTCTATGAACGCTTGAAGATGGAAGAGCTAATGCTGGATCCGCACATTGCGCTCTACCATGACGTGGTGTCCGCCAAAGAGAGGACGATGCTGCAGAACTACGGACGTATGAATCTCACGCTGGATGCGCAGAGGCTTCTGGCCAAGCATTGTCCCCTGCCCGAATCCATACCGGTGGTGCAGAGTCTACACAAACGGCTGGAACACATGACTGGCTTGAGCCTAAGCAACTCAGAGGGTTGGCTAATCACCAACTACGGAATTGGAGGTTTCTTTGGGCTGCACAAGGACTACTTTAATGAGGTACTTCCTACACCTTTCTCTTAGAGCTTTGTAGATTTTATTTGAGATTTCATTTTGCAGATCGAAGAGGCATTGAGGGGCGACAATCGCTTGTTCACCATTCAGATCTATGTGAGTCCGAGCAGCAGCCTAAAATGATTCCTTATTCCCCTCTTATATCCTCCCCACAGCTAAGCAACGTGTCCCAAGGCGGCTACACAGTCTTCCCCCATGTGGAGGTGGCCGTGAAGCCACAGGCAGGCGCTGCTTTGGTCTTCTACAATCTGCTGGACTCTTTGGAGGGAGATTTGCGCACCCAGCACTATGCCTGTCCCGTCATCGACGGCGACAAGTGGATAGCCACCAAGTGGCTCTCAGCAAAGGAGCAGCTCGTCAGCAAGAGCAGGAAATGACAGCTGTTTTTTGCATGCATAAACGATGCTCCTTAGGAGCCGTAAATAATTGAATTCTTCGTGCGATAATTACATTCTTCGGGGGATAATTCGCTATGGAGCATGCATAAAGCTGAAGGCTAGTTGTGGCATTTCTTGAAGAACGTTTCCTCATTATGGCTGCCCTACTGTACACGCTGTTGCTTTTGCTCCTGTCTGGCTGCTGCCTCGAGGCTACGCCGGATGAGAAAGTCTTCCAGGGCATGCTCAGCCTCGAGCGGGAATTGCTGCAGAATCTGCGAGACTATGCCTTGAAGCTGAGGGAAAAGATCAGCGTCATCAATGGGTGAGTCTTTCCACATCAATGCTCTCCCTCTTCATGGGATACCCTTTGCTCTTGCCAGCGCTCTGAGGGAGTACCACGAAGAGATCGAGGAGGCCAATGAGGACCCGGAGCTGTATGTATCGAATCCGCTGAATGCCTTCCGGCTGATACGCCACATGCATCAGGATTGGATCAGCTGGCAGGTGTACATGGAGCAGCAGGTAGGCCCCGAGCAAGTGGCCAAGCTGGAGGGCATGCTGCCGCAGCTGCCACAGCACCAGGACTTCCAGGAGGCAGCCCAAACGCTGCACAGCCTCACCGAGTTCTACGGTTACGATCCTTCCATTTTGGTGGCTCAAAAGGAGCTCGACAGGTGGGGGTAAAGGCTGCTTCAACTGCAAAAACTCTCCTTATTCCTTGCTTTCCTTTTAGCCAGCTCTATCTTTCCCCCCTGGACTGCTACCACATGGGTTTGGAGATGTATCAGCAGGAGAACTACCACGAGGCACTCAAGTGGTTTACTGTGGCAGCCGAAAACTTTACCTCGTCGCCCTACAACGATCTCTACAGCGTGCTGGGCGCGTCACGCTCGCAGGTGTATCGTATGCAGGCCAGAACCTACCAGAAACTCAGTGAGTGAAGCTCAAATATCCACAGATCCACGCTACTGAAGTCTTCATTCTCTTGCAGACCGAGAAGAGGTGTACAATGCCTACCAGAATGCCATAATCCTGGATGAGTTCAACGTGCAGCTGCTGCAGGAAATCGGCACCATAGAGCTGCTCAGCCTGCGCGATCCCATGGAGCCCATTTTGGAGCCGGTGACCACGCCCAGTCCCCTGCAGCAGCAGTGCCGGGAAAGCGTTGTCGAGCTGTCCGCTATCTGTGCGCACAATGCGATGGTGTCCGCCTTCCTGTTGCTGGCCCCGCTCCGCTACGAGGAGGTGCTGCTCTCACCCTACATTGTGCTCTACCGGGATGCCGTCTACGAGTCAGAGGTCACACACATCCGAAACGCATTCAATTATTGTCCTCCGGAAGTCAAGTTCTCGATGGATGGTGGAGTCAGCGGCTGCTCTATCCCGGATGAGTACAGTCCGGTGATGCAGCGCCTGCAGGAGCGGGTGCTGGACATGACGGGCTCCTTCAATCTCGCGCACAACTTTCATGTGTTAGAGTATGCACAGACAGAGCCGTTTCGTCTGTTTCAGCTGTTCAAGGAGTCTCCCAGAGTAATTGGATGATCCCCTAGTGTCTCTCCTTTCCTTACTTTTCCTTTTCTTGCAGTTTTCCGGCCTGAACTTTAACGAGATCGAGGGTACAGCCATCGTCTTTGTATGTTTGCTGCCTTCCTGCCGTTCCTCTCTCTGATTTGGCTTTCTTTTCAGCTGAATGATGTGGAGGTGGGCGGCGCCATCACCATACCACACCATCCAATGTTCGTGCAGCCGAGGCAAGGTGACGCCCTGATCTCGTTCCACGACGGCGACTTTGAGCACACCATTTGCCCCCATGTGGTGGGCACTGGATTGGGTATAGTCCTTTCGCAGTCCTCCGCCCGTTGACTTTCTTTCGCTGATCGAGCTTGTTCTCTTTTTGCAGTCATGGTGAAGTTTCTCTACGCGGAAACGGAAGAGTGAGCAAAGCGGTTCTCCCATTACCAATCTCATTTCCACTCGACGTGGTCTGGAGCAGAGTCGCAGCCCAAAGACATTTTACTCTCATGAATAAAGTTTGCCGTCACACCCTAATCTAATTGAAAGCGTAGCAAATGCAACGACATGGAATCATTTATCACATTCAAGACTGCAATGCTGCCAATCGCATCTATGCCTGAGCTCCTGCTGATACTCCTGATCGTCGCGAGTGTTGCTGTTCGCAGTCAGACCGAAAAGGAGTTTTTGGCATTAAAGGAAGAGGAAATTCAGCTGCAGCTGCTGGACAGGGAGCGGATCTCAAACCTCATGGAATATGCTGAAGAGTTGCAGAGCAAAGTGGAAGTGTTGAAACGGTAAGATTGGAGATGGAGGGACAATCCGAAAACTATTATAATTGACTTCGTTTGGGTGTTTCCACAGATTTGCAGAGGCGAAGCGCACACCCCTCCAAGCAGCAAAGGGCAGGGAGGAGGAGTACCTATCGAATCCGTTGCACAGTTTCCGCCTCATTCGCCACATGCACGAGGACTGGCGGCATGTAGAGAAGTTTATGAGGCAGCCAGTGGGGCAAGGTGAGTGCCAGTCTGGCAAAAAAATAATGGAAATATTTACAACTCTTGCCCTGCAGATCAGATTAATTTCTTTAAAGAAAGGGCAAATGAGTTGCCATCAAAAGAGGATGCAGATGATGCCACGGAGGCCATTTATCGTATTATTCGCACCTATGATGTGCCGCCAGAGGAGCTCGTCCAAGGGCTAATCGATGGCGTGCGGTACAAGTAGGTCTACAGATGGATAACTCATTTGCTTCCATTCAAGTGCCAAATTCTTCCAACAGTGGCAGCATTTCAGCCATCGACTGCTTCTCTTTGGGAACGCTGCACTTTGAGTGGGGAAAGTACGAAAAAGCAGTCGACTGGCTAAACCACAGCTTGACTCTGTTGAAACCCGAGTATAATTCGGTGTACAATGTGCTGGGATTTACCTCAAGCGAGGTCCACATGCTCCTGGCTCGTTGCTACGTGGAGATGGGTGAGGGATCATGGCATCACTCATTACTCTTCTGAGAATCTATTCTTCATTCATTTTCAGACCAGGAAGAAGACGCTCGAAGCACACTGTTGTCCCACCCAACTCTGTCTCAGCATTCGGAGCGTCTGCTCACACTCTACAACAACACCAGACACGTTCCAGTTTCGGCTGACTTGCAGCCTTTGCTGCCCGATAAGTTCAATCAGATTTGTCGCTCCTCCCATCAGAATAAACCCTCCCGCCTGCACTGCCGCTACAATGGCACAACCTCTCCCTTCCTGCGACTGGCGCCCCTTCGGATGGAGGAACTGTCGCTGGATCCTTACATCGTGGTCTACCATAATGTTCTCACCGACGCCGAAATAGCTAAAGTGGAGCAAATTGCAGAGCCATTACTGGAGCACAGTAGCGTTTACGTAGCGGAAATCAAGAAGGCGATCAAAAGCAAAGTTCGCACTGCACTGGGTGCCTGGATACCCGACTCTGATATGGACGCCTCGGGCTGGACTGTGGTGCAGGGACTCCACAGACGAATACGCGATATAACCGGACTGAACATCAATGAGCAGCAGCACATGCAGATTATCAAATACGGCTACGGGGGACACTACGATCCCCACTTCGACTACTTTAATGCCACCGTTAAGAACACGCTGGCAAGCGGCGACCGCATGGTCACTGTCCTCTTCTATGTGAGTCGGCTTAAAGCTCTGACTCACCTGAAGGATTAACTATTTATCTCCCATAGCTTAACGATGCGAGGCACGGTGGCTCCACCGTCTTTACCCATCTAAAGCTGAAGGTCCCCTCGGAGCGTGGCAAAGTCCTTTTCTGGTACAACATGCGTGGGGAGTCGCACGAACTGGACACTCAAACTGTTCATGGTGCTTGCCCCGTCATCCATGGCACCAAATCGGGTGAGCATTTCCATTCGTATTTATTCAGCTATCATCTATCCTATCCCTTTTGCTACTTACAGTCATGTCCTGCTGGATACACGAGTTGGATCAAATGTTTATCCAGCCCACCTATCGTCGCAATAATAGAACATTATTTCATAAGATGGTTGAGCATCAGCAAGGTTGATTCAAGGGTTTACCCAAAGGGGATATTTAATAACATTTACGTTGCATTGACAATGTTTTTAATACATAAATACATACATATGTTGCGGAAATTATAACTTTTTGCCTGAAAAATATGATAAAATTAGGAATTTAAAAACAATTTTTTGTTGTAATGTTTCTTGCTTTCAAAAATGTAAACGAATAACGAAATATCTCTGTACTCTGACTTCAAAGGTATTTGTATGCCTTTTAATTTAATCAAAATATGTTGCTGGGCGGGCTTGAGCCTATTGGAATGATAATAATGCATATGCAGAACGTAGAACTGTTTGTAGTATTTAATTAATATATTATTAATATAAATTAAAAAAATAGAGCCAATCTTTCTTCCGCAACTGTTCCAATTTATTACCGCATGAAAACATATTTGCAATATGGAAAATGTAACTTTAATTCAGGCAAAAGCTGACATTTCTGAAAATTATGATTTGATTCTGCGAATTTTACATTCATATAATAAAAATGTATGCAAAATTGCACTCTCTTTCTAGCCTTCTGTGGGTGAATATGGAAATACTCTCCCACCTGGGCGATAGGTGGGCTGTATGAACATTTGATCAAACTCGTGTATCCAGCAGGACAGGACTTCAAAAAGAGAGAATCAAATTTTAGCTGAACGAGTACAAAGGGAAATACTCACCCGTTTTGGTGCCATCGATGACGGGGCAAGCACCATGAATGGTTCGAGTGTCCAAATCGTGCGTCTCCCCACGCATGTTGTACCAGAAGAGGACTTTGCCACGCTCCGCTGGAACCTTCAGCTTTAGATGGGTAAAGATGGTGGAGCCGCCGTGCCGCGCATCGCTGAGCTTTAAGGAGGAGATAAAGAAAGAAAGAATTAATTGATGTTAAAAGGGATCTGGAAACTGTACACTCACATAGAAGAGGACAGTGGCCATGCGGTCACCCTGGGTGATCGGAAAGGAGCCATTAATGAAGTCAAAATGGCGATCGTAGTGGCCACCGAAACCGTATTTTATCAGCTGCAAGAACTGATGACTGTTCATGATCAGTCCGGTCATGTCGCGTATGCGCCTGAAGATACGATGTAGCACTGGCCAGCCGGAAGCGTCCATTTTATCGTCGGGCATCCAAGCGCCCAGTGCGGTGCGCACTTTGTAATTCTGATTCGTGTTCTTCTTGCCCAAACCAGCGCGGATCAGTAGCGGCTCTCCAATGCGTTTAATTTCCGCTATTTCCGCATCGGAGAGGACATTGTGGTAGACCACGATGTAAGGATCCAGCGACAGCTCCTCCATCCGCAGGGGCGCCAGTCGCAGGAAGGGAGAGCTTGTGGCATTGTAGCGACAGTGCAGGCGGGAGGGTTTATTCTGATGGGAGGAGCGGCAGATCTGATTGAATTCCTCGGGTAGAGCGCGCTGCAAATCCTCCGAGAGTTTTGCGTGTTTCTTATTTGTGAAGAGGCTAAGTAGAGGCTCCGAATGCTCCGCCAGATCGGGGTGGGACATCAGTGTGCGTCGAGCGTACTCCTCCTGATCTGAAAATTTGTGAGAGAGATCTTCAGCAAAGGGAATGTCGGATCAAGTCCACTCACCCATCTCCATGAAGCAGCGGGCCAGTAGCAGGAATACTTCGCTCGAGGCAAATCCCAACACGTTGTACATCGAATGGTACTCGGGTTCTACCAGATCCAAGCAGAAGGATAGAAACTGTGCGGCCTTGTCGTATTCACCCCACTGGAAGTGCAACGCTCCAAGAGAGTAGAAGTCGATGGCTGAAATGCTGCCACTGTTGGAGGAATATTGAATATCAAAGGATGTGTTAGATTAATCAATCGGGAGACCTACTTGTACCGCACGCCATCGATTAGCCCATGGACGAGATCCTCTCCCCGCACATCATAGGTGCGAATTATCCGATAAAAGGCCTCCGTGGCCTCCTCAGCATCCTCTTTTAATGGAAATTCCTTTGCCTTTCCTTTGATAAATTTAATTTGATCTGGAGGGAACGCGTTGCGATTATTTCCAATGTTCTTTGACCGGCCTGCACTTACTTTTCCCCACAGGTTGCCTCATAAACTTCTCTACATGCCGCCAGTCCTCGTGCATGTGGCGAATGAGTCGGAAACTGTGCAGCGGATTCGATAGGTACTCCTCCTCCCTGCCCTTTGCCTCCTCGAGTGGTGTCCGAAACATCTCTGCAAATCTGTAGGAACACCCAAACTGGTTCAATTAGAAGAGTTTCCTGGGTGTCCCTCCATCTCCAATCTCACCGCTGCAACACTTCGATTTTGCTCTGCAACTCCTCAATATATTCCTCGAGGTTTGAGTTCAGCTCCCTGTCCAGCAGCAACAGTTCCATTCGATGCGCCTTTGAGGCTATAAACTCTTTAGATGGAGGAGAGTTCGTGTCGGGCTGACTCTGAACAACTGTAAGGGCGAGAATCAGGAGGCTCAGAAAAGACAACATGCTGATGCGAGCATGGAATACAGAAAGTAGCTTTATTTATTTATCTATCGGTGTCGTAATTTGTGTATTCAAGTGTCAAAAGCTTAAGCTTTGAGTGGAAATGCTAACATGTAAAGTAGAGTTGTGAGTCTAAAAGAAGAGCTCTAAAGATTGTCATTGTCAAATTGCCCATAAGGACCCATGAACAAGGAAGACGAAGAACTCAACCCAGCGCAGGGGATCAAAGTGGAGAGCTGTGAGCTGCTCCACCTCGACATCATTCTTCTCCAGAGGTTGAGAAATATAAAATCAGTTTCTTGTTTTTAATTTTACTAATTTGAATACGAAGTTTGCCTTCTTTATGTCCGATAAATGATTATTTTAATGATCTCCTTTCAGTGCTTATTCATGCAAGAAGAATTTTCTATTGCCTCGGCGATAGGTGGGCTGGATAAACATTTGATCAAACTCGTGTATCCAGCGGGAGAGGACTGTAACAAAGGGGATAGATGTTAGCTGAATAAATACAAAGGGAGATACTCACTTGTTTTGGTGCCATATATGACGGGGCATGCACCATGAAGAGTTTGTTCGTCCAGATCGTGCGTCTCCCCACGCATATTGTACCAGAAGAGGACTTTGCCACGCTCCGAGGGGACCTTGAGCTGTGGACTGGTAAATACAGTGGAGCCACCGTGCCTCGCATCGTTCAACTTCGGAAGATAAATTGAGAATCCTTCGGTTAGTCAGAGCCAGAAATGGAGCTGGAAACCGACTCACATAGAAGAGGACGGTGGCCATGCTGTCGCCGTAGTATTTGATGGTCGGAAAAGAATCGTTGAAGTAATCGTCGTGGATATCGTAGTGGCCACCGAATCCGTATTTTATCATCTGCATGGGCAGCTTTCGATTGAGTTTCAGTCCGGTCATATCGTGTATGCGAATGTTGATACGATTGAGCACCGGCCAGTGATAGTGTTCTTCGGGTATCCAGGCTCCCAGGGCAGTGCGCTTCTTGCTGCTGGTGAAGCTCTTTCCATCGTATACCTCACTGGGCTCCAGCAGAGGCTCTGCATCGCGTTCCACTTTCGCTATCTCCTCCTCGGAGAGGACATTGTGGTAGACCACGATGTAAGGATCCAGCGACAGTTCCTCCATCTGCAGGGGCGCCAGTCGCAGGAAGGGCGTCGTTGTGGCATTGTAGCGACAGTGCAGGCGGGAGGGTTTATTCTGATGGGAGGAGCGACACATCTGATTGAATTCCTCATACAGAGCGGGCTGCAAGTCCCGCGAAACTTTGACGTGCCTCTTGCGTTTGTAGAGGCCTAGAAGATCCTCCGAACGTTTCGCTAGATTGGGCAGGGCCATCAGTGTAGTTCGAGCGTCCTCTTCCCGATCTGAAAAGAGATCGAGAGAGATAGATCTTCAGCGGGCGCATGTCGCATCATAGCTACTTACCCAACTGCACGAAACAGCGAGCGAGGAGACTGAGGACCTCGCTGGAGTTGAATTTTAGGACTTCGTAGACCGTATTATATTCTGGTTCTACCAAATCGAAGCTGTAAGATAGCCAGGCGACTGCTGCGCTGTACTCCCCATATTGGAAGAGCAGATTTCCAATAGAGAAGCAATCGATGGCCGAAATGCTACCACTATATGCGGAATATTGAATATAAACGAATGAATTTGTGTTATCCATTGGGAGACCTACTTGTACTGCACGCCATCGATTAACCCCTGGACGAGATCCTTTGGCGGCACATCATAGGTGAGGATAATCCGATATATGGCCTCCGTGGCATCATCAGCATCCTCTTTTGATGGAAATCCCCTTGCCTTTTCTTTGATGAAATTAATCTGATCTGCAGGGAAAGTGTTGTAAATATTTCCACTATTCTTTGCCGGACTTGCACTCACTTTTCCCCACACGCCGCCTCATAAACTTCTCTACATGCCGCCAGTCCTCGTGCATGTGGCGAATGAGTCGGAAAATGTGCAGCGGATTCGATAGATACTCCTCCTCCCTGCCCTTTGCCTCCTCGAGTGGTGTCCGAATCATCTCTGCAAATCTGTAGGAACACCCAAACTGGTTCAATTAGAAGAGTTTCCTGGGTGTCCCTCCATCTCCTCACCGCTGCAACACTTTGATTTTGTTCTGCAACTCTTCAATATATTCCATGAGGTTTGAGATGAGCTTCCGATCCAGTAGCAGCAGCTCCATTCGATCCTCCTTTGAGGTCAAAAAATCCCTGAGTGGATGGAAGTTCCTTTTGGGCTGACTCTGAGCAGCAGCACTTGCGAGGATCAGAAGGATCAGGCATAGAATCATCTTCACCTGGATATATGGAACCGAGTATATTACAGTAAGTACTAGAATGACCCAAGTCTCAAGTGGGACTGTTTTTTATTCATTTTATGCCAGTGAGTCTTGGCGGTGGCGGCTGATATGTGCGATTGCAGCTGGCGATCGGTGTCGGCTTTCGTATGGAGAACGCACCTGATTTAGGTACTGTTCAGCCCAGGCCCTTGGGTTTTGCATTGCACTTAAACCGCTTTGAAGTTCTGTTATTTATGCCACAAAAAAGAAAATGCTTGCCCATAGTGCAGTCGAGTTGAAAATATGTTTATGCCATTTCTGTAGGTAATACTAGTCAGGGCTGCGAATTTTGAGGGCTTATCAAGGTCTGCGGTTGCAGCTTTCCAGCTTTAAAACTTTTTCAACTACAACTTTTTATACCCGGTACTCAAAGAGTAAATAGTAGAGGTTCTGGGTAGATACAAATTTGACAGGCAGATCTGACCTCTTAAACTGAATACATTCTTGCCTAGCAAAACAATGTTTTTTAGGCATTTTTATACCCGGTACTCGAAGAGTAAATAGGGTATATTGTATTTGTGCGAATAAAGGTTGTATGTAACGCACAGAAGGAAGCGTTTCCAACCCCATAATATTCTTGATCAGCATCAATAGCCGAGTCGATAGAGCCATGTCTGTCTGTCCGTCTGTCAGTCTGTCCGTCTTGTTTGTCGGCTAGTTCTCAGAGACTATAAGAGCTATAGCCACCAAATTTTGCATCCAGACTGCTATATGCTCACACTTAAACGAGTGTATTTCAAAAATGAGCCACGCCCCCTTCCGCCCCCGCCAAATAGCGAAAACCCCCCAAATCTACAGTTTTGAAGATACAAGAAAACTAAAAACGCCATTCCGTAGGAAATGGCCATATCTATCAGATCACCGAATTGGGATTCGATCGCATCATTATTATAGCCACAATGGAGAAATTAATTTCCAGTGGCTAAACCCACCCTGTCCCGCAGCTTTTGTTGCTCTTTTTACATTCTCTCTCTCTCCCCCTGGCGTTGACTCTTCCGACTTTTAACCAAGACTCGGTTTTTAACGCTCTGTATTAGAAAAAGAGTGACCATCAAAGTTTCGTACAAGAAATTTTCATAAATGAAACCTAGCGGTCATTATTGCACAGAATGTGCAGACCATTGGACCATCAAAGTTGCGTACTAGAAAGTTTCATAGATGGCGCCACTTTCGAAAAATTTGCCGTGAAACCTATCGGTCCAAGAATGTACCAATTTTATTGCTGTTTTAAATATCTCATAAATTGGAAAATATTAGCTGATCCAATTTGTTTGATGCATTTTATTTAGTAGGCTTTTACTAAGTGTTCTGTAATGTGAACGATATCTAGAGGTTGGCGATGTCTTCTACATCTAGATGTAGTCCTGAGTGCCGGGTATAAAAGTTGTGACGCGTAAGAAGCGTCTCACACGTCCCTTCTCGTTTCAAATATTTACTTATGTATGTATGTACATACGTATGTATGTAGATGTCTAGGTCAAAGTCAAAGATTTCCAAGCGAAAGCAAAGCCAATAAGACACACACACACATTGCAAAACAAGAGACGCTCCTAAATGATCTCAGCGCAGGTGTACTAAATGCCAAAGTGTCCCCGCTCTTTAACCTGTCAACGATAGTGCTCTCTTAGCGTAAAAACACATTGCAAAAGCAAAGATTCTGCCGCTCTTAAGCTTACGCCCCTCTTCAGGTAATTGCACTAACAGCACAAGCAGTAGAAAGAGAAGTAACAACTCTTCTATGATGCTGATATCATCCCATACTCCTCTGACCTTCTAAAAAGAAACAAAAGACACAGACACACACAATGCAACAGCAAAGCCGCTCTTAATTGCTCTCCCTGATTGCAGTTCGTTCACCTTCAAATAACTTTGCGTGGGAAGAGAGCTTAAGTCAAAAGAGAGAGCATCAGAAAGAGAGAATCTAAACCAAGCCACCCACGCACGTTTAGACACAGGAGAGGAACTCCCTGACCGTTTAGACACAGGAGAGGAATTCCCTCACAAAGAAATCCTCAACCGGCGCGGCTCGTGCTTTTTAATGTTTTTACTTTAACTTTTTGAAAAGTGTTAAAAAATAGTGGAAAAGTTCGGAAAATTGTGAAAGAACCCGTGTGATAAGTGTGGAAAAGTAAAATCTGCCGGAAAAGTGATAAAATGTGTTGAAAAGAGCAGTAAAAGTAAAGAAAATTTCTGAAAAATGCAGGAATAGCTCAAATCCATGAGGGCGGAGAGCCAAAAGTTAAGGCACAAGTGAAAAAATAATCACAGCAATAGTTCCTCCAATGTTTTTTCAATGTAAAAGTAGGCCCGAAAAATGGCAATTTCGTCGCAGTTTTCGCGGAGCCTCCCCCACCCTCTTTTCTTGTAGTGCAAATTCCAGTGGGAGGAAGACGAGGTAAAATAACGGAATCATGCATGGCATGATTTGTGATTGCGTTTTTTTTTGTGAGAGTGAGAGAGCCTGCATTGGGTGAAAATTGAGTGAAGTGTTAGAGTGAGATGGCTAAAGAAAGAGCGGAAAAAGAATCTCACTCAGTGATGGTGAAAGTGAAAGTGTCGATGGTCATTATGATGGCAAGGGGTGCCAGGCGGATACGGCAAAAGTGAGTGAAGTGTTAGAGTGAGCCCAAACTAAAAACAGTTCAATGTGCCGCAAGACTAAAGAAAGAGCGGAAAATAAGAATCTCACTCAGTGATAGTGAAAGTGAGTGTCGATGGTCATTATGACGGCAAGGGGTGCCAGGCGGATACGGCAAAAGTGAGTTTTACTAAAAGCGAGTGAAAGTGCGCGAGTGAAAAAAAAAGTCCGAATTGACCTCAAAAACAAAACAAAAGGCGGAAAGTAAGAGTGACAAAAACAATAAATGTATGACATGTACCGCAAGAACCTTAAATATAACGGAAATATGTATGCACATACAATGACATTTGTATCCGTTTCTCTTTGATTTGGAACTATAGAAAAGAAGATAAAAAAAGAGAGAATATCCCAGCAGCAAAGTTGAGTAAAATTGAAGGTGAGTTTATATCCTCTCTCTTTTATATAATATTATCTTTTTTATCTCTTTTGTATACTATTGTTCTATTGTTTTATTTTTCATTTGAGTTGACATTAATCAACTTTGCAATTAATTCTACACTATTATGAAGTTTTCTTTCTACTTTTGGCATTACTTCCAGATGAAATTGTTAAAATTTGATTATATTTATCATTTGATGAATTTTTTTCGATTCTGTATTAAATATGTACATATGTCAATATTTCAATTAAAAATGTATCAATTTCCCTTTTCTCCACTGCAACAGTGCAAAAGTCAGGAACATTCGAAGAACAAGATTGCTTACTCATCTGTAGCCTTCCTCTGTGGAGTGGAGTGTGGGATTCTTCTTGCATTGACCTTCAATTCGCTTTCTTCTCTGGCACTGGCTCTGGCGCTGGCCCTGGCGCACTCGGCTCATTGCACCATTAAGTGGCAATTAAATTCAATTAGCCGCAATACTCTCCGGTACGTTCCAATATCGGGCATCCCTCTGCTCCCCATTTATCTCGCATGGCTGTCCCTGAATCCTCCTTCTCCTTCTCATCCTTTCTGTTGGATTCCTCTGCAACTTTTGCACTTCGATTTCGATTGGTGCTGCTAATAATTTCTCAGATTTATCGTCTTCCTATTCTCCCCGCTACTTCCTGTTTGTTTGGCGAAACTTTTTCGCTGGCTTTTCTTGGCTTTGCCGTCTTGGCTTTCAATTAAGATTGATGGCGTGCACTTTTCCCTGTGCTTTCCTTTTCCCACACTCTAAGCAGGCAACGTCCGCAATGTAGTGCGAGTGGCTGGAATGCATTTGTCTTGATTTCACCTTTTGAGCCAACAGACTCATACAGATACAGCTACAGATTGGAGAAGTCCTATTCATCTCGCAGACAACATATGTCTGCACCAAGTCCCTGTCTCTCCCTCTTTCTGGTTGTTGGCCAAAAGGTAACAGCGGCAATTTATCAAAATTTACACACACAAAGAGGCTGAGGCGGCTGAAGCGGAGGCTGAGTGATGGGGCAGAGGCAGGACATGCAGCAGAAATGTGGTCACAATTGGCATATGCGTGTGCGTCTGTGCATTTGTGAGTGTGTGTGTGTGTGTGTGTGTGTGTGTGTTGCTAGGTGGAGTCTCCCCTCTCTTCCACTCTCTGTACTTGACTTAAATTGCTTTTTTCAATGCCAACGGCTGCTGCTGTTGCTCTTGCTGCTGCTGTTGTCCTCCTGTCACATGCGGAGCCAAATGTCATTTCAGCAAAATCCCTCAAGTCGTTCGTCTGCCCTTGTCTGTCGTGTCTGAGTATCTGTGTATTGTGTGTGTGTGTGTGCGTAAGAAAACATTGTGCAAAATACAGAAACATTTTTCTGCGGCTGCTTAAATTGCATTGGGAAATAGGTTGGGGATCTACTGCCACTCTGCCACTGCCACACCAAGACAATGAACAGTTGTTGCCACTGCCGACTCTGGAGTGTGTGTGGCTGCTGAAAGGTGCATTTGTTTTGGGGCCACAGAGATAGGTCTTCCATCTGGGTATTTTCCCCCTTCAAGACTTTGTCAACTCTGATTCTGATGCTCTGAAATTGTTCTAATTGGGCGAATCTTTTCTCTATAAAGTGTGGAGTACTCTCCGGCTAAACCCATCAACCTTATCCCACAATCTCTTTATCCTGGATCCATCCTGTTGCTCCTTCTAATAAAATTAAAATGCCAACCATTTTCACTCTAAGAAAGTTCCTGAAATGTGATAGCTCCAGCGCTCCCCGCCTCCGCTTACTGTTAAAAAATTAGCAACAATTTTTCAGCATCGCATCAAGATGTGCCCTGCCCCACTGTCAACCGCATCGTGAGGCAAAGCCACCCTCAACTCTGTGGCACTTATCAAGAAGCTGACTTACTTTGTGCTACACCTTGTGGCTCTACCCATTCCCATTCCCCCCTCCCCCGCCCCGCTTCTTTCTTCCAGCCACACGCACTTTGTCATCTGCTTGGGCCCCGCCTGGCTCTGGTTCTGTCTCCGGTTGCGACTCCAGCCTGCTCCTTCCTTCGCGGTAATTTGATATGCCGTCGTGGCTTACATTTTTTATCCACCATTACCGCAAAACGATTTACTTCCGCGTCGCAATTTGCTTTAAATTTTTATTTAAACAACAATTTGTTCAGATTTCGAGCAGATTGAGATTCCCGCTGAAAGATGTGCCACAGAGATCTAGATTGAGAGAGATTCCATTTGATTGTGTGGCAGTAGCAACGGGGCAATGCCATCCATATTGTCAACTCATTGATGCACCTTCAGCCACAGGGCCTGCCAAGGATGTGGCTGCAACGGACACTCGACAAATTAATTTGCTGCACACTCCTGCACGCAGCTGCCTCGAATTGTTGGGTACTTGCTCCTTGATGGCACTGTCCTTGATGCTTGCTCAGCACTTGGTGGAGAGTTTAGAGCGAGGATATCCTGTGTTTGTCGAGGCGTATGCGACAGATTGTATTTTTCTATAGAAGATTCCAAGTTTAACTGAGAAATGTACTCTAGAATTTCTTCATTTTTGTATAAATGAGCAAAAGTAAATTCCAAAGAGTTCAATTATTACAGGGTATCAATTACTTCCATTTCAATAATAATTTAATAATACTTTCCCCCATTAGACGCTTTCTTTTTCTTATTTTTTCTGTTATTATTTTTCTTATTCTTGAGCTAAAATTGGTTTCGTGTTCATTTTCGTTTGCGCGTTTTTCCCTCCTCTCTCTCCCTATCTCTCGCTGGTCCAGCTCCAGGGCGCGATTTAGTCCAGAAATTCCCCCATGCCTGCTGGCCCACTCGATTGTTTTTCCTGCACTTTTTTGTGCGGTTTTTAATTTGATTTCTTGCACCTTTCCTAATTGGCAATTGGAGTCGCTTGGATGTCGCTGACAGCAGCAGACGAATTTTCCTCTGGCCCCAACAAATTTAAAAGCTTTAAAATATCCTGGACTGAGGAGGCATGGGTGGCTGGTCCGACTCCTGGCGTTAATGGCTCTTTTATGGCCGCCACTGTGTGCTGCTGAGGCTGCTGTGGCAGCTGCAAATATTTTGCCACTCCGTAGCAGTGCGATGTTTGGGGGATTGAGGGAGCTATGGGTGGGGTCTTGTTTCGGCAAAAATCTAATCTATGCAAGCCCCGCCACATGTCCGCACCGCTACCCGCTACCCGCTACCCGCTCGACGCTCTCCGCTTCACGCAGTGTGGCAACTATTTTTTTGCCGCTTGCAACGTTTTTTTCCGGCTACTGCTGTTGCTGTTGGGGAAGCTTAACAGTTAATTGCCCCTTGAAGAATACCGCTCCACAGACAGCGACACAGCTACGGGAGTTCCTATGGATCCACAGATACGGAGTTCAGAGTCCGCACCACGGACACACGTGGACACCAAAGCACCGCACCGCCCTGGACAATGGTTCTCCATTTGCCCCTGTCCTGTGTCCTGTGTCCTCGTCCTCGTATCCGTGGCCGTATCCGTGTCCGTGCGTGTGTTTTAATCGGTTTGACTTTGCTGCCTGACCTGACTGCTGGGAGGTGGGACGCAGTGTGGCATGCAACAACAAGGACCAACAAGCAGTGTTGCCGTGTCAGGGCCCTGCAGCAGATTGAATCCTAATCGAGAGGATTTGACTTTGGTTACGTTGCGTAAACACGCAACAACCGGCACATACCCCGACAGGAATTCCCATGCCCCTTGCTCAGGATTACAGTGAAGACTGCTTGGAATGAAAAGAAACGAATGAAAGCGGGTTCTCTTGCTCTTTCCTCTGATATTAAACACATAATTAAATGCTTTCTTTCTCCTCCGACAGAATACATTCCTTGGACCGTGGAACAAACAGTTGGCGAAGATTTTTAGATAACTTTAATCTGCAGTTTGATCCTCGCCATGGGGTTCGTTTTTCATGTTTCTCATCCTATTCGCTGATCCTTTGCTAGTTATTTTGGAAGGCAGCCGTGACCTGCCTCAAGCCGTAGTCGATTATTAACTGGTGCTTACAGCAGTCAACACACGACAAGTCTTTGAATTTGTGTTTGGTTCCTAAATGGTCGAAAATGAATAAAACCGAACATCAATCGCCCCTCTGCTCTCACCTCAAAATCAGAAATAATTCCTTCCTGCTAGTGACGATGCAGTTTGTCCCCTTCTAGTGCAGGCTTTTCTTCTGGTGTAAAAAGGTTCTTGGGTAAAAAAATAAGCAATGTTTCCAAGATAGAACTTGGATGGATTCCATGGGCATTGCCTTGAGGTTTACCTTGAAGAAAAGTGTGCTTGCATAAGCATGTGAAAGAGCAATCATTATCTATACATACCAAAGGAATGCGTGGATGCTATGGGGATAGAACAGGCTCTATTCATACTCTCAAGATGCCAATTCGACGGTGTCCCCCCAGAATCAATAGCAACGGATCAGCCAACAGGACGACACCCACAAAGAGCCAACCCAAAGCTTTGGTGCGACTGCAGACTGTTTTCGACAAACCACAATGATCGTGCCGCAAGAATCGAATGAACAAAACGTAAGTAGTGGCAGTTATCGAACGCGGACGGATCCTTTGCTTTGTTTCAGAGTTAGCTTTACAATGGTACATCGTACAAACAAAGAAAACAAAAATAGAAAACTTAAAAATTGATTTGTGTAAACATTTTTGATATTTTTTTTTCGAATTTTAATGTTTGATGTTGCTCTATCGAGGCGTTTCTAGTAACTGAACATTTTTTTCCAGAGCACCCCAGGCTAAGCTGAGATATTTTCGGATTTAAGGGGTGTGTTAAGCCTACTTTGATCCTTAAATCGGTGAAGTGAAGAGGGATATAAGTCGTGTGGGGTTAACTCGAATGATTTCTGACCAATTTGAAATAACTTTTCGTAACCTATGATATGCATTCAGAGTGATAGCCAGTGGAGCACATTCCCAGCCACCACTGTAGTGCCCTTCCGAGTGCAGTTTATTGTGGCAGACTCGTTGTTGTGGCACAGGCAGGCAGGCAGCTGTTGTTTGCTTGTCCTTGGGGCAATTCGGTGGGCTGTTGTCTGTTGTCTGTTTAAAGGCGGGTGCAGGAAGGCAATTTGTATGTGCGTGTGCCCCTTTAGGTGAGCAGCCAATGGGGCATGTGTGGATTGAAGGTCTGCAACTGCCTTGGCTGTGGCTCCCTTGTGCTGCAGCTTGCGGTTGCGCTTAGCCATTTCCTGCTGCTGCCACTCCCACTCCCACTCCAGGCCGTGGCTTTAAATGCGCTTTTAATCGCTGCGAGGTTCGGGGGTTCTCTGGGTTTTCTAGGTTCTCCAGCCCGAAAGTTGCATCAATATTGAAATTGAACTGCGCCCAACGTGTGTCCTGTGCGAGGAGCAGAGCAGCTGTTGACAGGAAGCACAAAATCAGCGTTCACAGAGAGAGCGAAAGAGAGAGTAGACAGAGATGGTTATAACTTTTTGACAGTTTTAAGTTTGAGCGAAACTCCTCGACTGACTCTCGTGTGTTTGTCCCCCTGTGTGTGTTGTTTGGCAACTTGTGACACAAAGGCGCCATCCTCCATCCACTCTTCATCTGTTCCTGTCTCCCACTGTCTGCGCAGCCCGTTCTTCCCGTTCTTGGGGGGCATGCAACAATGCGCTGACTTGACTTGTCTTACTACTGTCTGTTGTCCTGCCTCCTCTTTTCCTGCCGCTCCCTGCGACCTTCACACACACTCGAGGAAAACTTAAACATCACGTAAGCATCCATTTCCCCTGCCACTTTCTCTTCTTCTGTGTGGCAGGCGTCTTCCTCTTCTCGCTGTGTTCTGAGGGCATCCCCGATTTGTACATACATCAAAAATTGTATTATTTCTTACAATTTTTGCTTAAATTTTGCTTTTACTTTTCGTCCTGCTGCTGCTCCTGCTGCTGCTCCTTCTGCTGCTGAAAAGGTCAGACATTGTCAGTTAAGTGTCCATGTCCATGTCCATGTCCATGTCCAAGTCTCAGTCGAAGAGTTGAGAGTCTGGCGTCCAGTGTCCAGAAAACTCTTGTCCAAAATTTCGAGTGCTTTTCACAATTTTTTAGTGCTCCCTGCTCCGCCTTCCCTTGCCTTCCCTTGCCACTGTTTTGGCCTGTCTTTTGGCCCTTATTGAACGCCTTTCGGTTAGGTGTCAATGTGTGCAGAAGCTGAAGGAGCAGCAGCAGCAGCAGCAGTAAAAGTATGGCAAAGGCAAATGGTATTGGAAAACTTTGCCATGCCAGTAAATGGATATTACAATTCAGATTCAGATTCTTGTGGCCGGGAAAGGGAGCCAGAGTAGTGGGAAAGTGCGGCCAAAGGGATGAGGCAGACCACAGAGGAGTTGGTCCTACATGCCATACGATTATTTCTATGATTGGATGGGAGTGTAAATGTTCCAGGGAAGCTGGAAGAGGAGAACGAAGGAGGCATTAAATGGATGGCCTATTCAGACACAAAAAACAAATGATTATCAAATGAAATAAAGAGAAAAGAGTAAATTTGGCAATTAAAGATGATGGCCTCTAAGGCAATGGTGTCCTCTGCTCTCTCATTTCTCACACCCTAGATATAGATAGATGTGGCATCTCCTTCCGTTTTCCCCATTCGAATCGAATTGGAACGCAAAACGAATTCACTCGCACACCGTGACATAAATCACAAAATCAACAACTAACACAAAACGGTATAAAAAATACAGATTTTGATTTATTGGCTCCCCCCCCCCCCAACCGACACCACATAACCCACCTCACCCCTCCTCTAAGTAGACAGCTCAAAGGCCTAAACGTGGCCTAAAGCAAACAAGAACAAGAAGCAGAAAGCCAAAACAAAACAAAACCCAACCAGAAATCAGATATGAAAGAGAGGGAGAAAGCGAGACTTTTGATTTGTGACTTGCGACTTTTCACGTAGCAATTTTCCCTCCTCCACACACACACACACACGCACGTGGAGAGGAGGAAAATCTCCATAAAATGAAAATATGAAAATAAAAATCACGCAACAGGATATTGAAACGTCACACATATGCCACAAGTGCCACAAGGCAAGGCCTTGCCTCACGTAGTGCACAGTGAACAGGGGTGTAGGAGAGTGTGGATGGGTGTGTGTGTGTGTGTGTGTGGCAGACAGGACTTCATTTTGGGGGGCATTAAAACTGTCAGTGGCGCAGATTGCCTGCGGTGGCTAAGGACAGCGACACCTACACCTTCCACATGATTTATTTGCCAATGGCATTGCCATTGCATTTATTTGTTTGTTGCAGCATCATCGAGAGGGGGAGAGTGGACAGGGAAGCAGACATTGGGGGGCGTGTGTGCTGTGCCAAGAGAAGAGAAAGTGAAATTGGCGCAAAAAACTGCGCAAAAATTCGAACGTAAACCCCACCCGTAAACAGTTGCAGCAGTTTCTTTAGCCTTATTTCGTCACGTCACATCCACCACCCACTGCCGCCGTCCCAGAGCGAGCACGTCCTAGGAGGAGAAGGATGTAGACGGAGCAGCAGCAGCAGTTTGCCAAAAGCAACGATAGATATGAAGGTGGGTCAAACGGAGCACCAAGGGGGGAGTAGCAGTTGTCTTTCGTGGGAGAGAGTCCTGCGCTGGATACTGGCCAATTGTCAGGACGCCGACTGATTGGAACTTTGAGCCTGCAGCAGCTTCTGCCACAGGACGTGCAGCGAAAGTTTAAACAAACACTGGAGCAGGACTGAGTCGATAGTGGGAGGAATGGAAATTCGCGTTTAAGTTGCGTAAAAATGCCACAAAAAGTGCTTCAAGGAGCAAAGGAAATCGGAGCTGCAATGTACCATTTGTTGGACAGTGTAGGGCATATCTACACTCAGCTGCCCATCCACCCACTCCGTGTGTGCGTATCCTGAAAGCATATCCATTTCACGCACAAGTGCCGTGTGGGCTCTGGCCCCGAGAATGAACCGTGTGTCAAATCCATTAACCTTCTGTTTACTTTTCCACGTCCAGCCAGAAGCCAGAGGCAGCAGCCGCAAACAAAAAATCACAAGTAGCAGCCACCCACAAGAGCTGGAGAGACCATAGATGCCAATGCCTCTGCCTCTGCCTCTGCCTCTGCTCGAGTGAAAGTGTTTTTGTGTGGTTGGAAATTTGATATTTTCACTAAATTGCGTTGCACACTTGAGGTCCGGTCCGGTGTGGTCCTTCCCACTCCGAACATAAATCTTACCTTGGTGTTTTTAGGGGGCGACTGGTGCGGGGGAAATGGAGCAGCAAATCAACTCCCATCCACACGTATCGGTGGAGCCACCCACCACCTCCAAATGAGTATTAAGTTGACGTAAATTGCGGTCCATTACATTAACCAAAAGGAAAAGAGTCCAAGGGAAAGTCCAATGGTGAGGAGTGGGCCGCTTGGAGTCTGGTCTGCCAATTAACCTTCCTCTTTGCCCCTTCCAGTGGTGTTTGTGCTAATTGCTTTTGTAGTTTCCCCGCAGCACCGGAAACAAAACAATATCGATAGGAAAAGATAAATGGCAATGGTATTGGTGTTTATTAGCAGATGTACAAAAGATGTAGGTACATTAAGAGCATTTAAATTGGTTATAATTTATTTACTTGTGAGTTACTTGAAATATGTGCTATTTTATTGAATGTTTTCAGATGGATTTCGAATGCTATGTCTTATATTTATAGTTTCTAAACCGTTTTGTGATTGGTTCGGGCGCTGCCTTTCTCTTTTTGTGTACTCCGAAGGTTCAAACTGCCCAATTAACTGCCCCAAAATCTACTTGGTGGAGAGACGCGTGCGCTTGTTCCACGAAAAGTTGTCTGCGTAGCTTTTCTTCTTCTGCTCCTTGGGCTTGGGCTCTTTGGCATCGATATACCAACGCCAGCCATTGCGTTCGCAGTAGGTGATGGCCTCGTCCTTGCTGCCGAAATGCAAATTTAAATTGGACAAAGGATCGCCACTGAGGAAAAACCGTGTAATAGTACCAGGCCATTAATTACTGAATCCAGTTGCAATACTTACGTTGAGGCCCAGCCCATTAGTGGGTTCTCCCATCGCTCCCGATTGTCAAACTCAATCTGCCACTTTTTGAGGTTGTTAATGCCACTTTGCATCGCATGCTTGGGTGGCAGGTGAATGCGTGCACGACGCTGCTTTAGCTGCGCCGACGGCACTCCGGAAATGGGACTCAAATCCACGGCTGTGGGCACGGTGATCGTTTCGCTTAATTGGCAGTGCTGCTCCAACTCCTCGGGACGAGCCAAGGCCGTTTTCGGATCGAGTGGAGCATCGGTATCTTTGGTGGATGCGCAGCGAGAAGCGTTTTTATTGGTAGCAGAATTTAAGCTACAGCCAACACAAAAACATGCAAATGGTTTATAAAATGTGCGAGATGCAATTTAATTTCACTTACAACTGCAAGGAGTTGGACGCAGCCCTGAGGCACATTACTCTGCGTAGCAGCGACATTTCTCTGGAAAGTAGAATTTTGTACAGGCAAATTTGGAACACAAAACTCACTCGTCACTTGGTTTTTATTTTTGCTTTACTTAGTGTTGGGTTAGCTTGTCTAATGATACGACCCATCGATATTATGCTTTCGATATTTATCTTTTCCAACACTTGACGAAAACTTCATATAAATGGCAACGTAAATGGGTTGTTGCTTGTAATTGCTCCAAGTAATTCTCGCTCCCTAAAGCTCTAACATCTTCCCTGCATATTTTTGGTTTCCTCTTAATTGAATTTTAATTGTCATTGATTTCACTTTGCTGCACTTTTCACTTTACGAAGCCATTTTTAATGCAATGAAAGCAACGATAAAAGAGAGAGAGAGAGAAATACAACAACAACAATTTGCATTGTTTTCCTCTCCACAGCGCAAAGCCAAAAGAGCAACAGGAGGAGCTAGTGGCTACAGCATGATGGCTGTTGCTCTTTTGACTCTGCTACAAATAAGCGCGGCATCAACTTTAATCACCTGCTTAATTAAATCAGTTTCGCCTGGCGACTGGCGCCAGGTCCAGCACTGCCACTGTCCCTTGTACCAGCCATTGTGTCCTTCTGTTGGTGGGTTGGGCTCCTGTGTTTTGGTCCTGCATAAATTACGTGCTGCATAATCACCTACAAGCATTCCATTTAAGCTCCTGCCAAGTGTCCTTTGCTCTCGTTTGGAGTCTTTCTTGTTCTTGGCTTCGCTTTTTGTTTTTTTCTCTTTTTTTTGTTGGCTTGCTGCTGATGTCCGTCTGATAAAGTTCTTAAATCATTTACGTTTTCCTTGTGTTGCCACCGCTTTTCTTTTGTTTTTTCTCCGCGATGCGGTTTTCATTTGCTCTGTTACGAGTTTTGTTTTTATCTTGATTCTGATTTAGATTCAGATTTATGTGTTTTTATTCCATTAGCGAGCCATTTACCTACACACAGCTCCGCTGCAGCGGAGGGGCGGGAGTTGTGTTTAAAAAGAGTTTAACGATCTGTGAATTGTGATATGATGAAAGAATCAAGGAAATAACATTGTGTTCTATGGGATAATTGCTGTAAGAATAGGGACAAAAATTTATATTCTGTTTTTATGGTACTTTAAATATTTTTGACGGGGAATCAGAATGGGTTTCCAGATGTAATTTTCAAATATTTTTGTAGCTAAACATGGGAGAAATGTGTTAAGAAAGATATTTTCATACATTTGCCACTCCAGAGAAATTCTCTCTCTCACTATTCTTGGGTGATTTGCAGCCTTGTCATCAGTTTTTGGTTGCGGTTGAAGTTTTACATAAAATCGATCGAACCATTCGCTGGATACAAGGACACAAGGCCAGAGGAGAGACAAGAGAAAGAGAGCGCACTCCACGACAATAAAACGCCAGAATCAACAATTATGTTAATTCCTTTTGTGGGTCAATGTCTCGCACACACACACACACACGCTCGAAAAGGACACACACACACACACAGAGACATTTCCATTGAGCTGTATTTTATGGCCGCTTCTTGGCCAACTGTCAGCATACTCTTGGCCAGCAGCAGGGGTTGGGAGGAGTTGGCCAAGAAGAAGGAGACTGAAGGCCAGTTGCAGTGGCAAAATAAATTAACATTATTTATGATTTTTAGTGGCTTAACATTTGGCCCGATCTCTGTAAACGGTTAACAGGATGTGATTTCCCCTGCTGTTAGTTGACAGTGAGTGTCAGAGCACTGTTATGTTAACGACTCTCACGCTGTTAGCTCTCTCTCTTCTGGTGTTGTCGACTGCGCATGTCGCTGTCTTTCACTCACACACCTCTGCGGTGACACGTGCTTTCTTCGTCTTCCGTCGTATATATAATGTACTGTACCTTACGCATCCACCAATCTACCTGCGTCAGTGCCCCATTCCTTTGATATGCCACCCCACTTCCCCAGTCTACTGCCTTCGATATATACTTTGCGCTCTCTTTCTCTCTCTCGTCCTGTACCTGCTTTAGGTGTTGCTGGTCTTCGTCTTCGTTTGGCAGCGACGTCGTCGTCGTTATCGTCATCGTCGTTTCTCTCTGTTGGAAGAGTGCAGCATGCGCTGTGTGTGTGTGGGGCTATGCTACCTCTCTCACTTGTACCTGCCGTGGGCCCCACACCACCATTCCTTTAACCATTTCCCCCTGCCACCCCGCAGCCCATGCAGACAACCGCAAGTAACAGTTGTTTTGCGTTCATTTCTCACCTCTCTCTCATTCGTCGTGCGTTTTGCGTTCGTTTTTCGCTCTCAGGTTGCTGCTTTCTCGCTTGCACTCTCACCCTCTCTCTCTATCGCCCACCCACCTCTAGGTATTTTAAGGTAAACGAAAATGTTGGCAGCCAACCAAAGAGGAGCAGCACCTTGAAGGGGCTCGGGGAAAAGGGTACACGCTGAGAGAGAGGGAAAGGCAAACCCCGATCCCCCTCTTTATGGTGTTTTTTTTGGCTTTGGGGGCTGGGAGTTTCTGCATGATTTATGGTATCCATAAAACTATTACGCCTCAGAAAATGATTAGAAAAACCTCATTTGACTGCTGTCACCCCCCGGCCCCAACACACTTTCTTTTACCGTTGCGTTGCCTTTTGCGGTTACTGCTGCGCAGCTGCTCTCTCTTACCGTCTCCTTGCCCCTTCCACTTTCCACTTTCCACCGTCCACCTTCCTCTTATCAAACGTCAGTCGTCGTCGTCGTGTGCGACGTCAACGTCGTCGTACTCTCGTCTCATCTCATCTCCGTTCTTCCTGCGTTCGGCTTACACCTTGCTGCTGTCGCTGTCGCTGTCTCAGCTGCTGCCCTGCCGCTGCCTGCCTGCTGCTGCTTCTGCTGTCTCTGTCTCTGCATGTGGGGTACTCTCGTTTCGGCTGGAGGTGGCTTTTTCCTGTGTGTAGCGCAGGTCTAGAGGTGCGCGCAGCCACCCAGCTAGCCAGCCAGCCAGCCAGCCCCTCGCTCGTTAGGTACTCGATTCGTGTTTTTTCCTTTACTTTCCTGTGCTGGCTCCTGTCTTAGGTAACACTCACACACACACACACACACACACAGACAGAGATGAGAACCGAGCAGCAGCAGCAGCGGCTCCTCCACCTCTGCTGAGAGGCACGAAGAAGAGAGAGAGCACCAGCAGGTGCGCCCAGCCCCCACCTCATCGCAGCCGTTCGTTCGTTCTCTTTGGGTTTTTTGAAGGTGTGTCGTCGTCTCTCCGAGTGCGTTAGGTGCGCATCAGCATCATCATCGGTGTGTGTTGGTGCAGGGTTGGGTGGGGGAAAATGGGAAAGGGGGAGCGTGATTTATGCCAGCCAATGGTTGCGTTTCTCTGGATACGTGTGGTAGGTGTGCCACAAGACCGTTAGTTGGCTCTCTCTCTCTCTCTCTCTCGCTCGCTCTGCTTCTCGCTGTCTCTGTCTGGAGCACGCTCCACCTTCTCGGTGGAGAAGCGCCCACGTGCGCTAAAAAATGGCGACGGACGGGCAGGCGACACAACTCTCGGCGCTCGCACCTATGAGCGCTCAGCTCTGCCACCCTGCCACACTCGGCAAACGGGGGAAAACTTTTCTAATTAGCCAACAGTGCAACAGGGTGGAAAGGGTCACAGGCGGTCTGTAGGAGCAGGCAGAGCAAAAAACTCTGCTCTTTAAGGGTCCCTCCCCTCCCCCCACTCAATGTCCGCCTCTTTATGGATTTTTCCGACTGCCCGCTGGTTTTTCTTTTCCTTTTTCTTTTTCTTTCGCTCATTCTTTTCTTTTATCCTCTGCCACTTTTGCCCCTACTCTCTCTGCAGCTCTCTCCTTCTGCTTCTTCCCAGACGGTCCTGGCGGTGTCAGTGTCCTCGTTAGAGGATGCTGAAACATTTTCCCGCTGGCTTGTGCGCAGCGATTTTCCCATATTTTCCCAGCCCTCCATCCCTCCGTCTACGTCGCTCGCATCTTTTGTTGCAGATAAAATCGATGGCATTTTATAGCAATTTAATATGACCTTCGTTTCGCTTTGGCACACAAATGCTCTTGTATACATATTTTTATTTGTATTTTTGTTTCTTCTATATTTCTGTACTTTTTCTTAGGCTCTCCCCCACTCTGTTGTCTCGTTTCGTCTCTGCCTCCGCTCGTTTTTGTAGGCGGTTTTTGTTTAAAAGGCTGCTGCGTTTTTCCTTCGAGTTTTCGGTTTTCTGCGTTGTTCTTTTTCGGCTCCTCCGTCAACAGGTCGTATGCGCAATCTGTTGCCCTTTGCCAGAGGTCAGCCGATTTGACATTGAACTCGATAGAGTCGATTCGCGCCGTCGGCACTATCCGGTGGTCTGTAATGGAACCCATTGATGGGGCCATTATATTCAGATATCATCAGTGTAGATTTAGAATGGAGAAGATTAAGGATTAGACTCGTTTTTGTTTACTAATTGTTTAAAACTTTATCCTGATAAGCTTAAAGAGAAGCTATAAAAAAGTCGGTGATCTTTGGGAATCATTTTCTCTTACTTAGCTATTATTTAATACAAAAATTACAATTTAAGTTATCTTATAATTAAGTTAATTTGATACTTTTCTGCGTATCATCTATTTCGAGTTCAACATTTACAAAAAAGATATTGAAAACAGTTTTATTGTAATCAAAAATGTTCTTATTAATTCCCAAATAATTTCTTTCTTCAACTTACCAGTCTCGGAACACATCTATCTGTATATTTAAGTACTAAAAATCTATTTAAATGTAGCTGTAAATAATAATTTAAATGGTTTAATTGCAGTGCTATTGTCATGTGGAAGTTACTCAATAAACTCAGTTAATTCGGTAAGTCCATATGCATTTCCCTATGAATTTATATTATATAATTATTCAAACTGAATGATTAAAAATCGTTGATTTAAATCGGATCGCTAAGCGTTTCCAGATACAACGCTGTTTATATTTTTCTATTTTTTCCAATTATGTTTCGAATCTCATTCTCAAAAGTAGCCCAAAAAAGACGACCCCGTGTTCATTGGGAGTCAAGTTCTGCCCCTTCCCGTTCTCTAAGATACTCGTACTTTGAGGTTTGTCTGTTGGCACAAGCAACATACCTCACCCCACA